AACGATGTTCTATGCCATGACAAAGGATTGAGCGCCAACGCCAGCAACGCCTGATCTCTACCCTCAATTCAGCCATCTGCTCGACTTCCTCACTCACAAATCACGTCGTCCATGCTCAATCATTCCCTAGTCGGCTTCTTCCGGTAGAGTCGTAGAATCTGAAGTCGTATATTCGAATGCACTTGAGTCCGCGTCTACACCCGCGGCTCCAGCTTCTGTACTTGCGATCTAAACGGCATCAGCTTCCGTGAAAGCGACAGGGGCACGTAGGCCTGCACCAGCGTACCCTCCTCCAGATACTCCTGGACGAGCAGAGAATTGAGGGATCAGGCCAGCCTTCACAATGCTTGGCGTTCAAAGATGGTGAATTAACGCAGCGGGCCTCCAGCGTTCGCATAAGACTGAATGTGTCTATGTGGAAAGAGAACGACGTTTGGGGTGGGCTCACCTCCGACTCGACGACCCCCAGGCGGTGGATGACGTCCAGGAGGTCGCCATTCCGGTACGGCACCACCGCCTCCACGCGGACCAGCGTGTCCTGCACACACCGCACCGCGCCACTCAGCATGCACAATGACGCAGATGCCCGTCGAGACCACAGTGGGTGGGAGGAGGGGCAAGACAAGCGGAGCGCCCATTTTGCACCGCTGAGTGCATGCGTGCAGCCTATGTACGGTGCAAAGAGGCGTGCGTGCCGCGTGGGGCTGGGTGCGGCTGGGCCGGCTGACCTTGATCATGGCCTCCACGCAGTCCAGGAAGGCGGGCAGGCCGTACCCCGTCAGCGCCGAAATGGCCACCGTGTTCTCGCGGGCCATTGCCTGGGCGATCACACGCAGCGGGTCCGCCACGCGGTCCACCTGGACAAGCATGCCCACCGCGAGCTCAGGGGCGCAAAACGAAGCTTCCTGGGCGTTAGAACGCTGGCGAGACGCGAGCAGCCCACAAAGACCGAGCCGCACCTTAGGCCACAAAACGGGCAACCCAATCGTGAAGAGACTAAGTCCAGGACGGCGTCAGAAGAACCCCCAGCATACGGCACGGCTTTGGGGCGGCGGGTTGTGCGCGCACCTTGTTCCAGACGGTGAGGATGGGGATGTGGCCCACGTCCAGGTCCGCCAGCACGGCCTCCACGGCCGCCACCTGCGGCCCCGCCATCGGGTGGCTCACGTCCACCACGTGCAGCAGCAGCGACGCCTCGCTGATCTCCTCCAGCGTCGCACGGAACGCCGCCACCTGCACGGTACCCACGTACCAGGACAGGCAATCAGGGCACGCAAACGGGGTCGTATGCCACCACCTTGAGAAGTTCCAGCAGCCTGTCGAGAAGTACGTCCGATACGAGAATAATCGTCTTCACAATCGACAGGGGCGAGACAAATGGGCGTCGTGCAGGTGGGCTTACGAGCTGGGTGGGCAGCTTCTGGATGAAGCCCACGGTATCGGTGAAGAGCGTCTCCTTGCCGTTGGGCAGGTTGACCCGGCGCGTCGTGGGGTCCAGCGTGGCGAACAGCTGGTCCTCCGCCAGCACGCCCGCGCCGCTCAGCCGGTTCAGCAGCGTGCTCTTGCCCGCGTTCGTGTAGCCAACCTGCACTCAACACCGCAGCCTCAGCCAGGTCGGCCGCCCCTCGCACAACGACCTCCCATGCGTGCAGCTTAGCAGACGCACAAGATCAAAAAGAGAAGAAGAAAGGTACAAAAGGTGCAGCAAAAGTTAGACAAAACTCATACATCCTTCAAGCATCTGGAATGCGCTTACAGCAAAAACCGTCTATGCAAGCTGGCCGGCTTTCTCTTAGAAAAACTTCGAACACGGCAGCATGATCCTGGGGCCTCGACCTGCTGCCGAGGTAGAGAAGCTCGATACATCCAAGGTGATACATCGGGCGGCCTGTCCAGTGATCAAGGGCAGGGGCGACCGCGCACCAGGGAGATGACGGGGATGGGGGTGGCGGCGCGGCGGTCGCGGTACTGCTGCCGATGGTCGCGCACAGACTCCAGCTCCCGGCGCAGCTGCGTGATGCGCGTCTTGAGCAGGCGGCGATCCACCTCGATCTGCTTCTCACCCATGCCCTTCACCTGGCCCCCTCCGCTCTGCCGCTCCAGATGCGTCCACATCCTGCACGCACACACAGCCGGCACCAAGACGTCAGGGAGACAAAAAGCATCGAAATATGAAAAGGCTTAACAGCACCCGCATGACCAAGAGGATAGTTGGTCCCGGCGGCTGGATGCGGGTGCTGTCAAAAAACAGGAAGCTAAGAAATCAAGTTGGACAAACACTCTATGGAAGCTGAAAACAAGAAAGAGAGACAGGACGTCTTCCTAAATTGGAGCATGCATTATCCCCTACACTGCTGACAAGGCGTACCCTAACGGACAGTCTTATCGATCCACATCCGGCACATGGTGCCGTCGTCAGCGGGTGCGCACCGGGTGAGGCGCGGCAGCTGGTACTCGGCCTGCGCCATCTCGACCTGCAGCTTGCCCTCCTTGGTGGCTGCGCGCTGGCTGAAGATGTCCAGGATGAGCGCCGTGCGGTCGCACACGCGCACGCTGTCGCCAAACACCTTCTCCAGGTTGCGCAGCTGGCCGGGGGACAGCTCGTCTGGAACACACGCCACACAGTCCGGCCATCAGCTAGAAGGGCTCCGAGAAGAGCCTGCAGAGAGCCCTGCCTCCTTCAAATTGCGTCTCATATCTGTGCTGCCTGTGCTGACAGCGTGGAAGGCCTTCCGATAATGCCGATTCAGCCCAGATCTTTTCTTTACCTCCCGAATGTCCTCAAAAGACAAAAAGAGGAAAGAACATCAAATCGCATCAAGATGGATGCAAGTTTCCTTACGCAATTGAGTGACTCTGAGTTCGACACAAAAGAACGCAAGGCCACAACGGCTCACTTTCTCGCAACTTGTTGTAGCAGCCAGACGGCCACTCCAGGAAAGGAGGAATGCGAAACATGAAGAACAACCGAAATCAGTGTACTTTGGCCTTACCATCAAACACGACAGTCTCAGCGCCGGACGCTTCCACAGCCCGCGCAATCTCATTGATCTTGCCGGAGCCGACGTAGGTCTTGGGGTTGGGGTGTTCCAGCTTCTGGTGCGTGGTGCCCACGACGCGCAGGCCCGCGGTGTCGGCCAGCTGCGCCAGCTCCTCCAGGCTGTCCGCCACGGTCCACCCCAGGCTGGCCGCGCCCTTCTGGTCCACGCCCACCAAAAACGTGCGCTCGTAAAACACCTGCGAAGGATGCAAGAACAGTGGGCCATCAGCCCGGCGGCAAAAGAGCATCTCAAAGCGTTGAACTGATCTGGGAAGTGCTTGCAATTCAGATTAACTGGACCTCCCTTGCTCGCTGATTATGTAAACAGGAATTTGGCTCGAGTATTTTAGAAATCCAAGTCTACTCAGCGAGCTTGCGACAGACACAGGGGCTAGCCAGCACGGTCAAGATTCTCTTCTTGCCAGTGTGTTGGCCAATCGCAGCCAATTACCTCCCGCCCGCTGCTTGTCTTCTTGAAGCGCCTGTCGATGTCCTCCTCCTCTTTCAACTCATCAATGACCGTGGTGCCGTCCAGCCCCGCCAGCAGGTCCTCGACGCTCTCCTCCGGCTCCTCCTCCAACGCAGCCCCCTCATCCACGGCAGGGCCTCCGTCCATGCCAGAACTGCTGTCAATCTCGAAGTCCCAGAAAATCTTTTCGCCCGTATCCATGAGTGCCGAAATTGGCCCATTTTCGGGCCTACCGTTCCGTGCTTCTGACGGAGCCCCAGGAGACGGCTGCTCTGGCGTTTTGCCTGCCACCCTGGGACTACTGCTGCTCTTTTCCTGGGGCGGCTCATTCCCAGCTGAGGCTGCCCTGGTGGGCAACTGCTGCCAGCCACTGCCGGTGTTGCTACTTCTCGCCCTTGCACCGCCCCCTGACTGTCGCAAAGTGCCAGTTTTAATTGGGAAAAGCTCCTGCCTCAGCCACGCCGCAGGAAAATCCTCCTGCAATTTTGTCCCTTGTCTCCTGTCTCTTACGGATGTTGGGCTCGGCGGGGAGCATCGTGGAGAGCTGGATGCATGGCTGCCGCTCTGAAGCCTCTGGGCGATAGACACAGAACCTGCATGACACGAAGCAGCACGAAAGCCAGCAGAAGTAACGAGCGCCATTTTGTTGCTCCGAAGTTGATCGCCTTGAATCAGAACTATGCTTCTCAGACTTGTTTGCAGGCGACCTGATTTTAATAATCTTGATTCTTGGTGGCACCAGCACCTGAGGCTGGAGCACTGTCCGTCTAAACAACCGGCTCGCTGATTCACTGCTGAGCTTCAGAACAGCGACAACTTCTTGCCGTATCAAGAGCAATAGGGACGCCACGAAATGCTGCACAAGCCTCCACTTCGCAAAACCGGCAGCTCACCGTGTCACGGCCCACGGGACCCGTCCGCTTTGCCTGGTGGGCTCTGAAAAGACTTACACATTGACGATTGAGTCAAGAAACTTGAGAGGCAGCTCAAGATGATGATCAGCCTTTTCAAGCTTTTGACTCCGAGAACTTGCAAATTGCAGCTCAGCTGTGCAGGTGGTGCAGCAGAAGGAGGCTCCAGTTGCTCCACAGGCTCCAGCTAGCAAGCAGGGAGTAGTATAAGCTAGGAAGCTTGCCAGCAGCCTTGCGAACTGCATGTAAGTTTTGTGTGGCTACTGCGTGGAGGATTTGCGTAGATTGCATCACAATGGGGAACAATCAATCCAGTCGCATTGAAGAAGGCGATCCTGATATCTCTGAGGCAGCCCCTGATGATCTCCCCATCCTGATTGCCCTGGATGAAGATGCAGCAGCGGTCCAGCAACGGGATCACAAAGAAAGGAGGAGTCACTTGGGGTTTGGGGCAGCACTTGTTGCAGCATCAATTGGCGCGGCATTTGTGTGGCATCAAAAAGTGCAAAAGCAAAACCGGAAACAACAAGGTGCTTCTTCCTTCTGAAGTCCACATCTTCAAAGATACAGGCACTTGAGTTGGACATGCAGAATTGACTCGATTTGTTGCAGGTTCATTGGTTCATTTGAATGTTTGCGGTTACACAAATGGGGTCTAAACATCTGTGGGCCTCAAGCTGCCCAAGTTGTCACATCATACGGGTATACCTACATTTGCTTCTCACATGGCAGGCCAACCAAGTTTTTTGAGGCCCTGCTGCTCACACCACCCTTGCTTTGCGCTGTTCAGCTTCCTATGTTGGCAACTTTGGAAAAGACAAGTCCATCAAGATCCGCTTTGATTACACCCCCAGCGAGATTGAAGCGGAGGCGAGGAAGCTCATTGACCGGTCACAGAAAGTCCATGACGCAGTGGCCTCCATTCCTCTTGAAAAGGTGAGCAAGTGGTGATGTGAACTATCAGCCTTGTTGCACTCTTTGGGGAGTAGGTCAAGTCCTCTCAGTCTGGTCAGGCTGAAAAGGACATATGATGCACAGCTGAAACCTGAGTTTAATGAATCTCAATTGTTCGCTGGATAGAGACCATGCCAGTGAGGTGGTTTCAAGCTCAATACTTCAAACAGAAGTTGACATGCTGGGAAAAGCCTGTGGATCGAAAAGGCAGGGGGGGCACAGTCTAGTTTCAAGGCTTCACAGGACTCTATCCGATTTGACATACCGCAAACAGTTTGTCTGGATCCAGTTTCACGTACCGCAAACAGTTTGTCTGGATACACAAAATCTCCTCTGATGCTGCTGGCGCGAGTACGCATGTGTTATACTTTTGACATTGAGCGACAAATCCTATTTTAGAACACATGCTGCCATTTTCCAGGTGACGTACGCTTCCGTGATTGAACCACTTTCCAGAATAGAGGGTGAAGAGTACCACGTCCTCCAAGCGCTTACCTTTCCAGCTCACGTGTCAAGAAAGAAGCCTGTGAGAGATGCGGCCATTGCGGCTGAGACCAAGTTGAACGCGTATGCCGTCAGGAGTAGCATGCGACTGGACGTGTACCAACGGGTGAAGGCCTTCTCAGTGAAGGGGGAGGAACTGAGGACTGAAGAGCAGAGATACGTGGACAGACTGGTAAGGTCACAGTACCAAGTCGATTGAGGTAATTTGGGCGAGCCATTAAACCTCAACCTTTTCTTTGGTGAACGACATGTCTTCGTGTTGTAAAACGGGCGGTTTGTGCCGATCTGAGGCTGAAACTATAGATCGAGCGAACTTGACTGACATCTGCACCATCCAACCTAAAAGTCCAGGAATCCCTTGTCGAAAAGCTACCTTCTTGGGTTCCAGAGCCTGGCCTGGCTTGTAGTCTGGCAATCCGAAACGAGTCGACTCAAGAAAACCTTTCTGTCCAGACCGGATTGTAACCTACATTCTGTACAAATTCGAGCACGAAACCCATTACACTGGCTATGTGGATTGCTCCATCGAACCTACAAGAAGAGTGCCGCATAGCCGCGGAAAGTTCGCACCCCGCGGTCTTCCTCAAGCTCTTCTGGCCTACGACGTCTTTGTGTGTGCCTGTTGCAGGTGCGTGACTACGAGCGGCTGGGCCTCAATCTCGATGCGGCCACCCGGCAAAAAGTGGAGGCGCTCAAGACCCGCTGCGGAGAGCTGTCCATCAACTTCCAAAGAAACTTGAACGAGGAGAACACGATCCTGCACTTCACAGCAGACGAGCTGGCGGGCATGCCCCACGACTTCGTCAAGGTGCGATATCCCGCAAGCTTTGAATTAACCACCCTGCTTCGCTGACGGATTCCTCCACTGAATTGGCCTCTGGCGTCGTCCTGCCGCCGTGTGCTCACTCTGGTGCTCGCCGCTCCTGCAGGGTCTGAAGGCGGTGCCAGGCGAGGCCGGCAAGCTGGAAGTGACCCTGCGCTACCCGCATGTGTTCCCACTGATGAAGATGTGCAAGGCAAGTCGCCGACGTCACTTTCGAAGCGCCACCTGTTCCTCTGAAGTCGAGTGGCGAAATCTGCATTTCAAAGACCTTCCAAAGACCGAAGAGACGTGTTGCAGTAAATGTCTTGGCGTCGATGACGTGTGCCTGGACAACGACTTCAGATTGTTGTTGCATCGTTTCGTCCGACGGGTGGCCAAGCCTGCGCTCAACATCTGACACACAGTCCGTCAACATAACTTCCCGGTGATCCTTGTTTTCAAGCCAAGACTGATGTCTTCCTTGTCAGGTTGGGGCAACGCGAAGAAAAGTCGAGTACGAGTTCAACAGGAGGTGTATTTTTGAGAACGTGAAAATCATTGAGGAACTGGTAAGTGAAACCCGTTCAGCGTCCACAAGTGTGCTGAATTTCTTTGTCAAATTACCATCCACATCTTACAGGAAGTCCCTTGTTCACGTTTCGGAGCTTACCCTGGCAAAGTCGTTGAGGTACTTCTGTGATGACCATAACTCTGATGGAAAGGAGAGGAACTGTAGTCGAACGTCTTTTTGGCAAGGCTAACGGCAGCCGTCTCGACCCAAACTGCTCTACCCAAGATCTTCTGAGGCCAGCCCTGCTTTCAGCGTTGATTTGGTGGTGAGTTGGCAGCAACTCAGAGATTTCTGGTTGTTTGCTCAGATTCGGCTCCGCCACGAGCTGGCCACGCTGCTGGGCTACCCCACGCATGCCGCGTACGTGCTGGACGTGCGCATGGCCAAGACCCCCGCCGCGGTGAGAGCTGCTGTGCTGCCAGGAGATCTGCAGCTGGGCTGCGCAACCCACAGTCTGTGGGGGCTCGCCTGAAGCTGTACCTCTCTCTTTCGCTAGGTACTGCGGCCCACGCAACAATGTGTGCTGCAGGACTTGTCCGGTCGTCTGCATGTGCAGTGCAGTAGAGACACGCTTCGTTAGGATGAGAGTGTCGAACCCGCGTATGCGTCCGTCCGTGGTGCAGGTCCGGAAGTTCCTGGAGGACGTGTCGGACAAGATGACCTCGTTGGCGGACAAGGAGCTGCAGCAGCTGAAAGCGCTCAAGGTACGTGCGCAGGGCCTCGCACGCTGCAAAAATCTCCATCAAAGGCGTGTTCGGTTGCTTAAACGACGAGGCAACGATGGAGCAAGTCGACCTTCTGTATCCTCAGCTCTGGCATCGTTCTATGACGGGGTTGGTTTGGCTGGTTGCAGCGCGCGGAGGAGGGCGAGGCGGCGTTGAGCATGGCGGACTTCCGGTACTACATGCACCAACAGGAGGAGCGCCACTTCAAGATCGACCACCAAAAAATCAAGGTGCCCCTCCAGCAGCCCGCCGCCGCCCCTGTGTCCGTCTCCTTATGTTGGCTCCCTTTGAAAGATCCTTCGTTTCATCCAGAATGCTTGGCCGGTTGACTAACTTTTTCACAGTCTGGGAGACTATAGCAGAAGCGCATGCCCTCATGCATTCGATCGTTGTCCGTGCAGGAATACTTCCCCATGGACAAGGTGACAGATGGCCTTCTCAAGATCTACCAGCAACTGCTAGGTGAGCGCCTTTGCAGACTGCTCCACCGGTCTGCTCATCGTACAGTGTCGAGGAGGAACTGCTCTGATACCCCATAATGGACCACCGGCGATGCGTTCGACTGCTAGAGGCTCGCTACCACTGCTTTGGACCCTTTTGTGTGCGCGCAGGGCTGCAGTTCACGGAGGTCTCCTCACCGCACACATGGCACGAGGAGGTGCAGCTGTTCTGCGTGCACGACGCGGCGAGCGGCGAGAAGCTGGGCTACTTCTACCTGGACCTGTTTCCGCGCGAGGGCAAGTACGGCCACGCCGCCGTCTGGCCCCTGCAGAAAGGTTGCACCCGCAAGGACGGCTCCCGCCAGGTGCGCCCCACCGGGGCCTCATCCAGCACGACGCACCGCGGCACCGGGCTGCTGCTGAGCTGTGGGAGGCTCCAGCCTGAAAACGTGGGACACAAAGCATGGGCAGGATGCGGCAAGGAGGCTCTTTGAGCGTGGTGGCAGACACGAGGCCTTCACCCAGTCGGGAGATGCCGCAGTCATCTGGCTGCAGTCGAGGATTGAATCTGTACCCATCGTGGTTGTCCTCTGCTGTGCGCAGCTGCCGGTGGCGGGCATGTTGGCCAACTTCAGCCGGCCCACTGCGGACAAGCCGTCGCTGCTCGCGCACAACGAGGTCGAAACGTACTTCCACGAGTTTGGCCACGTCGTGAGCACCACGGCGCCAACAACCAAAAAGGCTCTTGCGAAGATAAACTTCGTCAAACATCTGACTTTCCAGCAAGCTACTGGGGAGTGCACGAGTCTTGCAACGGTGGTCGTGCTTGTTCCAGCGAGGACAATTCAAGAGGCCATCTTTTTGGCCTATGCCAGCTTCGTCCCGCTGGTTAGTGGAGCAAGATTGCAAGTGCAGAGCGCACGTTCACCCCTTTTGGTTTAAGCCACTGGGTCCAGCCGCGCTGTGTGGTGCTCACACGTTGCAACTCTGTCGGCTGGTTTTAGACCCTAATGCGTGAACCTTGGGGCTGTAATCCGCAGATGCACAACATATGCAGCCGTGTTGAGATGGCTCGCTTTGCGGGGACGAGTGTCGAGCGGGACTTCGTGGAGGCTCCCAGCCAGATGCTGGAGAACTGGTGAGGAAACACGGCCTCTGGCGTGCCTCCTCGTCTATTTTCGGTGGTCCCTTTCACATGCCAAGCCGTGTCAAAGTTCACTCATTACGTACGTTCGTGCTCCGCGTGTCTGATTGCGACGCCCAGCCATAGAGCGTTGGCTTGGACCGTCTGGGCAAGCCAGTCTGGCGCATTGGGCCTGCATAGCTTTGTCTTCCTTAGTCCTTCTGGTTGAGTATTTTCACTCATCGGAACTCGTGTCTCTATACGTCTCTCACAACCTGGATCCGAATCTCGTTGTTGAAAAGCAGGGCTTCAATGGCTCTTGCTTGCAGGTGCTGGGAGAAGGCGTCTCTGCGGTTGATGAGCGGGCATTACCGCGACGGAAGCCCGTTGCCGGAGTCTCTCCTGGACACGCTGATCAGCACCAAGAAGGCGCACGCCGGCCTGCTCTGCAAGCGGCAGCTCTTCCTGGGTGAGCCACGTGGCAGAGCGGGCCACGATTACATGTCTGTCAGCACGATTGCGTGGTGGGTCGATGTCGATTCAAGATCAAGAAGGATTTCTTCGCAGAGCCTATTTAGTCGGGTAGCAATACCAGATGTCCATTGTAGCAACCAGGTTCGGCCCTTTCTGATAGTGCGCTTCGTCTCCTTCCCAGGGCTGCTCGACCAGACGGTGCACACGCGCGCACAGGCCGACACCGCGGCCGTCATCCAGGAGCTGCATCCCAAGGTACGCCCGCGCATGCCCCCTGCCATAGCCGCCAACAACGCGCATCCGCTCGAAGTTCCTTTGTTCCTTGACGTATGAGCTATGAGGTATAAGGTATGAGGCATGAGGCATGAGAAGTGAGGTATGAGGCATGAGGTATGCGCTTGGGATCTAGACTTGACATCGCTCAAATGCATCGACGGTCCTGGCTCCCGGGTTCGACAGCGGGGCTGACCCGCCCCGGTGGTGCAGGTGCTGGCGGGCATCCCCGCGACGGCGGGCACCAACATGCTGGCCTCCTTTGGCCACCTCGCGGGCGGCTACGACGCCAGCTACTACGGCTACATGTGGAGCGAGGTGCGCCGCACGCCCCCGCTCTATCGAGATTTCGCCTGCGGCACGGGCCATGGGGGCCTAGGGCCAGTGGCCGGCACCTTCTGATGACACAAAAAGCTGCGTTATCTGGAGGGCTCAACTCGTACTGCCGACGATTTTCGCGCTTGAACACTGCTTTCACCATTCGCAACAGATTCGAAAGCGTTGCATCCTGTGGTGCAGGTGTTTTCTGCTGACATGTTTGCGACCAAGTTCGCGAAGGACGTGCTCAGCCCGGCAGCCGGCAAGGAGTACCGGGACAAGATTCTGCGGCCCGGAGGGTCCATTGACGCTGCGGACATGCTGTGGGACTTCCTCGGACGAGAACCCACCGAGGCAGCCTTCCTGGAGAGCAAGGGGGTCTAAACCCGGCCACGCACGGAAGGGCCGCGAGGCAAGAGTCACTAAGAAGTAGCTGGGTTGCCGTTGAATCAGGGTTTGACATGCGAGTAGTGCCGTGAAGAGTGGACTGCACCATCATTGCACGGATGTATAGTTCCGTTACAGCTTTGAGAAGTAATAGAAGGGCCGTCGACCTTGAACGCTTTGTTGAAAGATGCCCTTTAGACCTCCTAAACATACTCTGATTTGGATAGATAAATACAAGCCGATATTCTGCGTTAATATGCAGAAGGGTCATTGCAAACCACTTAACACGTTAGCAATTTGAGATAGGCCGTCATGGAGTTTTCCATTTTGAACGCCGCATTTCCGGGCAATGTTGCGTGCGGGAATGGCGCTTAGCGCTTCTTAGCCGTATAACTAAGGCCGCACTGAATTGGTCCATCCGCGCTTACATGGAAGATGATTGCAATGATTGTGTGGTTACACGGCAGGTATCCTGGCTGCCCGGCCTGGTGATTCAAAAGCGCTACCTGGCGCGACGCTTTGCGCAGCTGTGCTGCAATATTTGCCGACTCAGTTTGACTCATGCTTGACGCGCTGCATGATTTTCGGGAATGTAGAGATGAACACGTACTTAGCATCTCATATGGTGTCATATAAGCACAAGCTAAGGCCAGGACGTATGTTTTCATGATGACAGCATACCCATTCCGCAGTTTCTTTAACGCGCGGGCCGGATGACCGTACCAGGACCAAACATCATGCAAACAAGCGTGGGCACTATCCGAGCAAACGCAGCCAGTGCACTGACTTGTATAGGTCCTTGACGTCGACGTTTCAGGTGCTGGTTTGCTAGCTCACTTTGCAATAAGCGGCCATGCAAGCATTTGCTACGTCGCTCTTTCCAGTTTTCGGCGAGACTCTCACAGTAAACTTCTAATGCCATGTCTGTTGTGCGAGGTCGAAGACCAGCAACTTACATTTTTGGTACTTATTAGGCAGGTCTTGTCGATCTGATTGCATTCCGCTCAGGATAGTCATTCAAATGTAGCAAGACGAATGATTGTCAGCCACAAACATGCTCGACGTGATACGTGTCGACTTCAAACCCTTTGAATGAATCCAATTCGTCCATGTATCCACGTGACTAATGGATACAGACGTGAACGTGGACTTCGCTCACTAAGTATCGTCACAGACTGACCGCCAACTCAAGAAGTAGATCTATGTACAAATTTCTGCTCCCTGGAACCCCCCTCTCTACAGACGGGCGTTGTCTAGAACAAGAAGAGACGACACGAAACAAGGTTCTTGCCAGTCCCGCACTACATCTCTCGCAGCACTTGTCCATCGCCGATGGCTTCTCCTTGCAGCTGATTTGCTTGACCGGATTGCAACGTTCTGCAACGACCAAGTGAATTGTTTAACCAGTACGTTACACACATCGAACAAAGTTCGACTTCACCACGTTATCTGCGATCATAAGTTTGACATGGCAATATGACAAAAAACAAAGAAACTTGTATCAACAGCATAGTTTAGTTGCCGAGCCTTTGTTGCAAGCGAATCAACCACGTCTGGCCCACTTCAGCAACCTACACAAAGGTGCCCCGGTCAGCTACCCACTGAAGTCTCACCTGTTCGCCTCCGCTGCCGTTTCCTCTCACGGCGCCGCCGGCTTCTCACTTCCTTCCCCTGTCTGCCCGCTTCTTTGCGCCGCCGCCTCCGCTGCCTCCTCCTTCCTCCCCCACGCGAATGGCCGCGACCCCTGCGCGCGCTCCCCGGCGTTGCCCTCCGCGGGGCGCCTCTCCCGGCCCCTGCTCGGCGGCCCCTCGCCCCCGTCACCCTTCTCCGCGGGGCCGTTCTTTTCAATCACCTCCCACGCCTCCGGCGACGAGTCCCCCGACCTGCGCCCGGGGGAGCTGGGGCGCCCGGCTGCGGGGCGGCCGCCTGGCGCGCGGTCCGCGGTGCGCTGCTCGTAGTCGTGCACGCGCTCCTGCACGCCGCCGCGCGGCCGTTCCTCGCCCTCTGCCCCCGCCTGGTCGGCGCGCCTGCCGATGAGCGGCGCCACGAGCTGGTCCTCCACGATTGCCACCGGCGCGGTGACGACCTCCTTGACGGTCTGCACCGGGTGCGCCACCAGTTCCTCCACCACGCGCACCGGCGCCGTCACCGTGTCCGCCGTCACCTCGTACACCGCCTCCGCGGCCGCCGCGGTCGCGCCCGCGATGGCGGCCACCACCCCGGGCGACTGCTCGCGCTCCAGGGAGCCGCGCGCGTCCTCGAACGACTCAGGCTCGGTCGGCTCGTCGAAGGGCGGGGGAGGCTCGCGCGGGGGCTCACGGGAAGCTTTGCCCTGCATCGAAGAAGAGAAGCACATGTCATTTGCGGCCGACTTCTGCATTCTAGCAGAACTAACTTGATTTCTTCTCAACAACAAGATTTTGCTAATCTCTAGGACGACAATAATCTCCTGCCTCCCTCTCTATGAACTTTGGCAGAACGAAAATTTGCCGTCTGCGGTAAATTATATGTTGCAAGAAGACAAGAACACAATGAGGGTCGTGACAGCTTTACGTTGAGATATGCACTGTTATTAATAAGTCCCTTTTCCCAGATCGTCAAACTTGAGATCGACAAGATTTTTCGGAAAGATGACGCCTTGACTTACACCGAAATCGCTTGGGCGGGCTTCCTGGGGTCTCCTCTCCTCTTCCTTTCTGCTCTCCTCCTCCTCTTCTCTTTCTCCCTTCTTCCGTTCTTCTTGTTTTATTTCGTCACCCCCGCCCCCTTTCATCTCTTCGGCGCGCTCTCTCGCTCTCACCAGCGGACCCTCAGTCTCCTTGTCGCCCCCTTCGCGGGTTCCTTCTGCCCGGGCGCTTTTCCACTTGAGCTCGGTCACTTGTTTCGACGGGCGCTGCGGCTCGGGCCGCCGCGGTGGGCCGGAAGCTGCTGCAAGCAGGACCGGGTGCGATCACGAAAGAGCTGAGCACTTCCGGAGGATGTTGCAAGCAAGCTTGTGCAGAGCTGAAGTCTTCTGTATCGTAATTTAGAACACTTCTGATTAATCTTTTCATGACTGGAGGCCTTTGTGAGGAAGGCAGGACACCCTAAAAATTGACCCAAACCGTTGATTTAGAGGCGTATGAGTGGGAATGCGCGCCGGCCTCGCGAGCCAAAGGCACCGTTTTGTAATGGTGTTTTGATGTGGCAAGTGTGCGGGCAGAGCCGGCAGTGGCGGGCCTCACCTGCGGCCTTCCACTTGCGCACCTTCTCCTTGGCCTGCTCGATAATTGCGTCGCGCTCGCGGAACGCCGCAGCCATTTCCTCCTCGAACCTGCACGGACACAGGCCAAGCACAACGCTGCGTCAACAAACACATCTTCTGTTTGTCCGTTTTGAGGAATCCTTTGCTACAGCCAAGAGCAATGAGAAAGAATTTTGGACACGACGCTGGCATTGTGCTTGTGAGGATGGCATGAGAACGCACGTCCGGCCGCGGCGGGTTCGCACCTCTTGCGCGCCTGGCGGAAGGCGTGCTGCTTGCGGCGCGTGGCGTCCTTGGCCATGGCGGCGGCCTTGTCGTGGCAGTCCAGCTCTTCGCCCACCGCGGTGATGCACGCCGCCTTCTCCAGCCACGCCACGTGGGCCACCGCCTCGCGGTACCGGGCCTCCGCCTGCAGTCCAAGCAACACCACCGGAGGGCCGCTTAAGCCGGGGGCAGGGGATGAAACAGATGAGATACTTGTGACCAGGAAAACGAGCAGGAATGGAACCTTCGTGTGGTTGCTGACATCAGGGTCAAATAGCCATCATTCTAAAACCCGTAGAGTGCCATCGTAATGCTGGAGACTTCTTAGAACCTCTTTAGCCCCTAGGCAATTACTGCCAAGCAGCTGCCTCGTTGAAGACCCCGAGAAAAGCAGCCGTAGCCTGAACTGCAGTGGATAGGCGACCGCGAGAATTGATCTGCTAAGCGACCAATATCAGCACGTCCAGATTCTTTTCCGACCAACATGTCGTTAGGAAAGGCTGTCACACCGCCCCTTCTCCTGCGTGCCCTGAACCTCGATCCTGGTCCCCCCTCACCTCAAGGCTACCCAGCGCGGCCGCCTGTTCCCCCAGGATGCGCACCTCCAGCCGCGCCATCTTCTCTGCGGCGCTGCCCGCCCGGAACACCTTGCTCTCGTACGCCTGACCCCCGCGGGCCCTGCTGGGGGGTCGCCGCCCCGTGGCCTGCAGCGGCAGCTTCCACACCAGGTCCAGCACCACCTCCGGCGACGGCATCTCGCCGCCCTCGCCCGCCGCCTCGCCGCCCTGCTCGCCCCTTGCGGCTGCGGCGGCCACCGACTCGCGGCCGGGTGGCGGCTCGCGGCCGGCCTGGCGCGCGTGCTCTTCGCCCTGCAGGCGCTCGAGCTCGCGGTGGATGTCAGCTTCCGCGCGCTTCAGCTCCGCAATGCGCGCGGAGCCGGGGGAGGGGCGGGTGGCCATGCGGGGCGCAGACGTGAGGACTATGGGGGGAAGCGAATTGGAAGACGAAGAAAAGTTTCCAACCTGCAGTAAAATCACAAGCAGAGAAAGATGAAGAGTGGCTCTTCAGAGGGAAATTCCTGTGTGGTCCAAATTGAGGCCTTCATCTACACGCGGAAGGTCCTCGAGGTGATTGAAGCCAATGTGGGCCTTCAGAACGATGGAAAAGAAGCGCCTGTTTGCAGCGCGTGGGCTCGTTTCATATCACAAACCCCGCTTCTTGGCCAAGCACATAGAGAGAATCGACGAGATGTACAAAAAAAAGGAAATGCGCATCTTCTTAGGAACTTGAGCTGCGAGACCCTTTGAGATTACTTCCTCCGGACTGCCCTTTGGACTGCCCCTTACATCAACGTATCAAGAATCGAAAAAGAACCCAGCGCTTACAAGGCCAACCACAGTCTTGCTAACAACGCCATAGGAAGAAGACAAGATTTGCCTCGTGTCGCATTGGTCCACAAAGGCGGCTCCAAATTTTCTGCATTCACATGCAGCGCTCTAAGCTGCCTGCTTGTTTAGAACCGCTCATTCTCCTCGTTCTCACCTTCCTGGCCTTCGTGATGGGCGGTCTTCCCCCACGACTTGTTCGCGTCCCTCGTCTTCGAAGATGAGCGGAGGTGACCCCCTACTCCGTGCTGTTTAAAAAGCTTGCTTAAAGCTTTGAGCTTTAAGACGTAAGACGTGCGGCGGGCCGAGCCACAAAGTTGCAGCATCCACACTCAGCCAGTAGCATCTGCGCTGTTCTCGTAAGCTTGCCAGGCTGTTTGACCGACTGGTCGCGGGGAGATGGGAACATGAGCTTGCGCAAATCATGCATGGTCGAGCTTTACCTGTTGTCGTTTCGTCGGCTTTGTCGCTATGCGTTACTGATGCTTGATGCCAAGACATAGGCGCGCAGGCAAAGTATACAGTTGTAAACTGTGCCCCGTTTCTGACAGGCAGCCCCCTATCGTCAGAACCGAGCGGGGTAAGCCCGCTGCCCAGCGCGTGGAACTTCGTGAGGTCCGCACAAAATCCCACCGGGCGAAATGAACAAGCGGTGTCCCGAACGGTTCCCCTGCGGGAAACATGGCTTGCCTAACCCGGCGTAACCCGTAGAATATTATAACCATGCTTGACCCACCTCATAACCACGAGAAAGCACGTCATCACCGACTGACGAACCTTATTTTGCCGGAAAATGCGGAGCCTATCCGTAAAGTGCGGAGCGACAGGAGCTTCTTTCGACGATAAAAAGCAGTGTCATGCTTCATGCATGCATGTAACGACATGCGAAATTGTCAAACATCACCGTCCGGCTGTGACATCTGGCACCGGACCTCCCGTATCGAAATTTGGCTAAGCCGACGGCCAGTCTAGAATCACGATCTGAATAATTTCGCAGATCTTCATTCGTAATAATAAAATCCTATGGGTTCCCTTAGAAAGGCCAATAAATGAACGGCGCCGTGGATGCTTTAAAGGCTGGGACAACGAGATTCTGCGTGACAATCAATATCGTGACCAGGTTTCGACTTGGGCAAGATGCGGTCAGTGGGACCTGCAGCCTGTGGTCACATTGACACGCGACGTTGGCATGAAAGGCAGACGTCAAGCGTGCATCATCTTGCTTCCGACACTTCGACGTTCGTGATATTAGCATTCCTCTCTTCTCTCACAAAAGCTCAATGCGCTAATGTTTGTGATGACAACTCCCAGTTACATAATTGAATAATAACCAACGGAAGTGCTTTGGCCGCCTGACAGATCCTGCTATAAACGACCAGAATTTGTGGACGATGTTTGAACGTATACGACCGATGTGATCTGATTGACTTTCTATTGCACGGCAATGTAGTCGACTTCTCAAGTAGCTAAAATCAACTTGTCCACTTTTTCTTGCTAAACTTCCTAGTCCCTTTCCTCTTATTCGTTGGGGGCAACCCGGTGCGTGCCAATTTGTCTAGAAAGCGCCAAAGACGTTGCTCGTGCTCTGTGGGCTGGACGGCCCTGCTCGCGAGATGGGGTCGGGGTGCACGCGCGCGCCCCCGGCCGCGCCCGCCAGAACGAGCCCGCCCGACGGACTCGCGTGCCACCTGCAGAAGCACCGCCAAGCAAAGGCCACCGTTGTCAACGAAGTCCGTTTCAAACAGTCTTCTTCGCACGAACCTGGAGGTTTTGGGATAAAAGATACTCCAAAAATAACTAGAGACTGTGCAAAGATGGATCCGATCCATCGAAACGATTGCAATGTCTTTTGACCCATGGATCCTAAGCGGCTCACCACCTAGAAACAAACCGGCGGCGTTGTCAGTATTCCAGCGGATTCATTTGACAAGGAGAAGAGCAGCTTGTCTACTCCTGCGCGCACAGAAATCTTTTCCGTTCGTCGCGCACCTGTACACTTCCAATGGGTCGATGTACTTGGCGGGCTTGCGGTGGTGGTACACGGGCGGCACCAGCGGCGGCTGGAGGCCGCGCTTGGCGACCGCGTCCCAGGCAACCCCCGCGAACCAGGGGTGCGCCTTCACGTCGCCCCACCCGCGGGGGCCGCTCCCCAGGCGGCGGCCGGGGTCCACCTCGAGCAGGCCCTGAATGAGGTCCCGCGCCATCTTGGTGAAGGGCGGGTCGGCCGCGGACTTGGGCGGCGGGAAGCGGAAGTCGCCCTCCACGATGCGCTTGTACAGCTCCTTCTGGCTGTCGCCGAAGAACGGCGGGACGCTGTGCAGACAAGGACGGCAGCAAAGCTTTACTTACGCAACAGGAATCTCAAAATTGGGGCTTTCAGTATAAGGCACGATTTGCCTTGCATCCAAGTTCTGCCCGACGGCAAGATACTGCCGACTCTCAACATCAGTGTTTGCTGCTCGCGTCTATCTCTCAACTCTTCACAAAACGCTCTGGTGAAACAAGGCGACGGAAGGAGCGCAGATGGGCGTGCGAGTAGGCGGCTGACCCTGCGATGAGCTCGAAGAGGAGCACCCCGAAGGCCCAGAAGTCGACGGCCCTACCGTGGCCCTTGCCGTTGACGATCTCGGGGGCCAGATAGTCGGGCGTGCCCACGAACGTGTGCCGCCTGCCGCACAACAGAACACCGCCTTTGAGCAGATTTAAGAGGTCAGCGCTCCAGCGAAGCAGTAGAAGCTCCGTCAAAGGGAGCTTGCACATCATTCTTACTTCAAGAGTTGGATCAAGAGAAACGATGGGACCAGTGAAATACGATCGGACCCGCTTCCCTAGTTCCTGGGCCAACTCACCTCTCCCCTGGAAGAGAGCGCCGTGAAAAGCCGAGGTCGGTGAGCTTCACATGGCCCGATGCGTCTAGCATGACGTTCTCGATCTTGAGGTCCCTGCGAATGCAACAACGACACCCGACGTGAGAAATATAAAGCTGAAGCTGGCTATCTGAGGAGAAAGCTCTTTTTCAGGTGGTGTCGCGTCGAAGTTATCGAACACGGAGCTTCTTACTGCGCCTTTCTGGCTACGAAAAGTGGTGATCAGGGGGACTCCAAGACCCAATAATCAGTTTAGGCGGTCAGCAATAAGTAAAAGGACTTCGAAAAACCCACGTACAAAAAATCCACCCGTTTCCACCCGTTTCAATTCCTCTAAAATGGTACTCTTCTTCCTGTGGCGTACGTAGTGCCCATCGATTCGTAAACGCGAAGTGGACAGCGCTCCTGGCGTGCGGTTCGTATCACCTGTAGAGGAAGTTCTTGCTGTGCATGTACTCGAGCGCCACTGCAATCTCTGCGCCGTAGAAGCGGGTCTCATCCTCCGTCAGCCTGCGGCGCCGCTCCAGCTGGTCGAACAAGTCGCCCCCCGCCACAAACTCCATCACGAAGTAGAGCCGCATCTGGTCCTGGAACGTCTTGTAGCTGCGCCAGGAGCGAACGGGTGCGAGTCTCAGAAGCTGGACGTCGGTGAAGCAGCAGAATTGACCGGCAAACAAACTTTTCAAAGCAGCTCATCCCACTTCCAGGAGCGAGTCTATCTTGGTAAGGTGCGTCTCGAATGAAAAATTCGAGGGCCCGCCGACATGCACAACGGCTTTGCCTACTGCTGGAGGGCCTGCGCTGCTTGAGGTGCACGGCCGGCGGCTCACGTCTTGACGATGAAGGGGTGGCCGCTGAGGGCGAGGAGCGCCTCCTTCTCTGCAAGCGCCTGCTCCGTCTCGTTGCGCGCGAGCAGATCCTTTTTGTCCATGCTCTTGAGCGCATACAGCTTGTTGGGCCGCCTCCTCCGCGTGCACAAGTGGACCACGCCAAACGCACCCTGGCCTGCGGAGAGGAGCCCGCAAGGGACACGGTCAACAGAGAGCGAATGCAGGCACAGGGCCGTCAAGAGCTTCAAACATACGTCAAAGGAGTGGGTAAAGTCTGAGGCAGCATTGAGCCACGTCCTTGTTTGCGGTGCTGTGTTTCTTGGAGCTATGCTGGTGGCTGGGTCGCCTCACCCACGACCTTGTGCAGCCGGAAGTCCTGGATGGACGCCCCCTCCTTTCTTCCCCCCGTCAGCACGCGCAGCATGCTCGTCGCTTTCTTCACCAAGGCCCTCACCACCCGCAGCGGCCGTCGAGCGGCAGCGCGCGAGTAGTACCCCGCCAGCGACGTCCTCCGTCCTGCTTCCAGGGGTGCAGCACGCTGCCGATGCCGTGGAGTCTTGCTGGCGGTCTCTCCCGAGGTGGATGCCACTGACTCGGTTCCCGGGTCCTCATGCAAGGGCCCACTCGACGAGCTCGACGTGGTAACGCTGGGGGGAAGGGGCGTCAGCTCGTCCAACCGCATCTTCAAGGTGTCATTCTTGGCTGACGGCTGCCGCAGGGTGTTGACGGTGATCGGCAGGGGTGATACACGGGCCATGTCACGGGACCGCCTGGCAGGCCTACTAGCTGCATTTGCTCCTATGGAAAGGCTGCTCGCCTCTGATGCCGCTGTTGGCAGGGGAGCTGGATGGGGCGTGCTCTCTGCACTCACTGTGCCCGGGAGAGAGCTGGCTCGTTCGATGCCTGGGCCTGCACTGTCATGGCCGGATTCAGGGCCCTTGCCTGCAGAGGTGCACTCATGGATCTCATGTGCGCAGTCGGGTCTACTCCGACTCTCGCCAGCCGCGTCCCCAACCTGAGTAGCACCCGTTGCTTTGCTGCCGCCCATTGCTGTCGTGTTCAACAGTCCCTGTTCTAAGCAGACAGGATCACTTGCACCCGTTGACTCCGCATCGCTTGCCTCAGCATGGCCGTGTGTGTTGGTACCCATCACAGTCGGATCTAGATCTCCAGGAGAACTGGCAGCACACGAGGCTGCACTGCTGCCAGGTGCCATGCTAGGGCTTTGCACGTCTTCACAGGTGGTGCGGCTGGCCTCGCTGGGCGCAGCACTGCTGGTGGCCTCCATGTGGTGGCCTGCCTTAGGTACAGGCGCTGCCAGCCAGGACACAGCACGGGCTCAGGGCAGCACTTTACGGAGGTGGCACGCACAGCTACGTCAATCTACTCGGTTTGGTCCCACATGAGCATCTACACTAACTTGATTCTGACCAATCGAGGATAAGTGAAGAATGGTTTAGCAGATGGCATGAGACCAGTGTTGACTTACACGTTTCATCTGGTCGACTCTTTCATGTGGCACTGCACATAACTACAAACGAAGCATGGAAAGGTTGAGCACACAATGCTGCTGAGTGAAACGGTCAGAATCCATCAGGGCGCCGCCACATTGGTCTTTCCATCATCGGACATGCTCGCATCGTCCGCTTGGCCATGGGAGCCTTTAAGTACTACATTGAAGGATGGTCGACTGGCACGTCGGCGGACCACTGCCAGCATCTGACCCTATCATTTCTCATCGTTGGCGAAGTGGTCTGCTGGAGCACCACACCAGATTCAGGAGGAATATCTGTGACTCATATTGGTAATTCTGGAATATAGAGGCGGCTCTACAGTTGAGTAATCGACGAGTGCTTGGATCAGCAGCAGCCGGCTACACACTACAACACGACTTAGAAGCGAGGCTGCCAGTGATGAACTCATCAATATGCTCCTGCTTTATGTAATGCATCCGGTTTCAGCAGCCTTATTCACGTACTATTGGGACATCTTTGCTTTCACTACCGTACGAAGAAATCGGCCTATGAGTCCTCCTGCGATTTGCGACAGTACCGTGACGTATCCATCCATCCATTCCTTGATATCAGCAAAAGAAAGATCCGACAGATTCTGCATGTGCGTGGAATATTAGAAGCGAGTGAATAATTACTTACTTGAAAGGGTGACTAGTGTAGATAGAGTGATACCACAATATCGACAGAGATACAGATTATATCAACACACCCCCAACACACGCGATGTGAAAGCTTTTTAAACCGCTTGACATACCAGAGTACAGCGGAACAGAAGGTCGCGCGCGCACAGCATTTCATCGAGCAAATCGTACGTCTCCACGATCATGCGTGTCTTTGCACTCTGCGATGGCAGACGCACTGGGAGTCCGTCCGGTCACCATGTTTGCCGCCCATGGTCCTGAAGTCTCTTGAACGATGTTTGCCGTTTGTCAAGGCCGTCACCTGTGGTGGCAGTGTGTTCAGCCCCGGCCCTTTCTAGCCGTCCGCAAGATTTGAGGGGGCTTTTCTGGCCAATGATGGGGCACTTTTAGATTTTAGTATCTACGTGGCCAATGTCGCGTCGCTTTTTACCTCGTGTGTGCAGCAGCCAATTCGGGCACGACGTGTATACACAGGTCTGTACAACATTGGTACCTTCACAGCGCACCTACCGTATTTACGCAGGGCTGCCAGACTGCCAGGTGCAGATTGGACCATGCGACAGTACCCAGGTAGGTACACAGAGCAGTACAGTGTACACCGTGCCTTCATACAGGCCCGGTTGGAGAACTACCTAGGTAACAGGCGCGCAAAGCAACTTCGGTCCACGGTCAGCCCTACTACCTACGTACGCCGCACGCGTGCCCCTCACTCGTGAGGCGCTCCGTATGGGCGCTCAACCTTTGCTTCATGCAGCTTCGAAGTGACGCATGTGGAGGTCACATTCGCTGCATGTTGCTAACGCAGCTGGGCGCACCTCGTCGATCTCATGCAGCCACTGCCATCTTGCTTTAGTTGAAGGAGGTGCTCGTAGAGTTGCGAGTTGGACTGTTTTCCTTCGGTGCACAGCGGGTGGTAATGCCGCAGGGAGGCGCTATCCAGGCTGGTTGAAAGCTGTAGCTTCTGTGTGGACATAGATCCGGATATGCTTTGCCTGCTACCTGCTTGACTTGTCAGAGTGTGGCACTTCTTTTGGTCGGGAATTGCACATCTGAATTGGTGAAGAAGTCTTCAGCTGCTGAGAGCGTCAGATCTGCCTTTCGACGCTTTTCGCACCAAGTATGGCTGGCGCTACATGTCGGTCTGGGGCAGCTGGTGCTGGTTTGCTGGGCCCTCAGGTTGTGTTGTCTGCAAGCAAATGCCAGCCTTCTCAGATAGATCTGAGGCACACCAAGCTGCAGCCAGCGATCTCTGCTCGAGGTGGCCACTCCAGACAAAAGCTTGGCACAGGAAAAGGCTTTGTTGAGGGAATTGGGATTAGCCAGCTAAAGCAGCTTAAAAATGTAGACCGCAACAAACGGAAGAAGGTCCTTCGCACTGCTGCGGTGCTTGTGAATGAGGACCCGATGTTCAGCGGAAGGGGCCGGGACGCAGATTTTGCTGAGTCCTCTGGTCGGGATGCAACAGATGCAAACGCCGGCTCCCCTCTTGATGAGCTGCTTCAGACTGGGCGGGCGCTAAAGTTTGCGGCGTCCATTGATGAAGAGAGCGCTCGGCAACGAGCTCTGGACAGGCGGCTTCGCAGGAAGTCGGAGAGGGCTTCGTACCAGGTGGCAGCAATCGCGTCGACGCTGGGATTCACAGCTTTGGCGGGAGCTGCAGTGTACCACCGGTTCCTTTGGCAGATACCGGTAAGCCACATTCAAAGACATGAAGGTCGAGTGTGGTCAATCTGTTCAGGGCGCGCAGCGCCTCCCAGTTTGCTTGGCATCTGCGAGCATCCTGATGGTGCAGGCTAAGTTCTAACCAAGGTCCTACATTTCAATGTTATCAGCTGCGCGTGCAAACAAACTTGTTCCTCAAGGTCTGCATGCACCGAGTCCAGGACTTTTGTGCAACTCACGGAAAGCTGGCCCAGTCAGGTTTGGGTTGTGCTGCTTTCTTCTGCCAAGGTGGATATAATCTGGCCAGATTTAATGGAGCAGAGGTTGCACACATTGGGGATCTTTTATCTGCAGCTCGCTGTTTAGCGACGGAAAAGCTGTTGGCTTTTGTACAGTGCATAACTTCTCTGGCCCTTTGTCAAAAGTTCGCGGCTGTCGGGTTTAGAAGTATGTTGCGAAGCAGGAACAGCGGCTACGATTGAGAAATGCAGCCATTGAGAGTACTTCGGACACCGGCTCAGAGCAGTTTCTGAGAGGTTGCTTGTTGACAAGCTCTTTGATGTCCTGCCATGGCAGGAGGGAGGCTCACCACCGTATTTGGAGATGGCTGGCACCTTCGCTCTTGCCATTGGAGCACTGGTAAGGTCCACTTGTCCTGCTTGGATCCATCATGCCTGCCTCATTTTGACTGTGTGATTGAGTTCTGGATGACCATTCTGAAGCACTGACATGACGAGCTTCTTTATGGCCACGATTTTATGACGGCCAAGGTTCAAGTTGTGAGATTGAGGTTTGGGGATTGTGCTGCAGGTTGGGATGGAGTACTGGGCCCGATGGGCGCACAAAGCTTTGTGGCATGCCTCTCTGTGGAACCTGCATGAGGTGAGAGCTGCGGCCACATGACAGTCGGGTGTCTTTTGTAAGCTGATTCAGTTTGCATTGCCTCAAGGACCTCTGCCAGTCTCAATGGGATCTCCCTCGTTCGTGAGGTTTGTAATGCATCTTACTGTGGGTCTGTCAAGAAGGCGCCAGCCTTTCTTTCGAGGCGCTTGTGTGAGCTGTTGGGTACCCATGTCTTGGTGATTTCATGAAGGGATTGGCCGTGAGCGGCATTGACCCCGGTATTTCCTTTGCAGTCTCATCATCGGCCACGGGAAGGTCCTTTCGAGGCCAACGACATTTTTGCAATCATTAACGCTGTACCTGCAATTGCGCTTCTAGCATACGGTTTCTTCAACCACGGATTTATCCCCGGACTGTGCTTTGGAGCGGTAAGCCCCCACTGTTTCTTTGCTGGCTTCAATGCGAAAGGCGTAACCTTGAATTTGTATGGGAGTAGCAGGCACGCAAATGCCAATGATCAGCTCCGTGCGCCATACTTCTTGTCGATCCTCAGCAAACCACTCAAGTTGAATGCTGTGTTTCTGATAGAACGAGCTGTCTGAGGGGCTTCCAACTGTTGGTATTGTTGCTAAGGAGCATCCGGCGTTCCTTCTATAATTGAAAGCTTTCTGGATGCAGGGCCTGGGCATCACCATGTTTGGCATGGCTTACATGTTTGTGCATGACGGCCTGGTCCACCGCCGTTTCCCCGTGGGGCCAATTGGCGATTTACCCTACCTTCAGAAAGTAGCAGCGGCGCATCAGGTATGCACACTGTCCTGATCCAGCGCTTTGCTCGAATCTGGACAGGTGTCCTCTGATTGAGTAGGTGACCAGGTCAAAAGGCTTGGGGTGTCCTGCTATTCGCCTGCAAGTGGCCTTCATTGGCTCAACGTTTGCTCCATTGCATCCAGATTGGATTCTGATTGTGTTGCGTCATGCTTATGCCCCTGGCTACTCTGTGCAGATGCATCATGCGGACAAATTCGAAGGCGTTCCTTATGGCCTCTTCTTAGGCCCTGAGGTAAGCTCGTTCGCATCCATTTCAATCTGAATTCACCGCACAAAGCGACACCTGTTCAAGCTGAAAGCATTGGGTTTGCCCTTAGAATGAGAAAGATGCTGGTTGACTTTGTTAGGAGTAGGTTTCAAGACTCTCGGAAGTGATGTGATCATGTCCTTGCGCAGGAGTTGGAGCGTGTTGGTGGCCTGGAAGACATGGAGGCCCTTATCCAGAAGCAACGGTTGAGCAGAGAAACCCTTGCCACCAAGTAGGACCAGGAGGAGGACCTGCCGTTCTGGTGGGCCGTTGCGAATATTAATTGAGCATTCCCTTGGGCAGGGAACTTACTGAGGAGAGCATTGTTCTCGCGTTGAGGTGCCTAGAACCCGCTGCGGCTCATTATGAATCGCAATCAATCATGCTGACTAGAAAGCTCTTGGGGATCAGTAGTCAGCAAGCTTGGCAGTGTTTGCAGCCTTACAGCCTAGAGAGCGCATCGTCAATCATGGGAAGGGGCACCTGCAATTTTGCAATGCATCCTCAAGCTACTAAGTCGTTGATCAGATTGTAGCCGGTCATGATCGTTACTACCGCAGAGACAAGACAAGATGGTCGAGCTCGTAATCTGACGGTAGACGATTAATAGCAGAATTATGGCAGGACGCAAATTAGCGGCTTGCAACATTTACTAAAGCAGGATGTAATTGTTGGAACTTGTCTATGCTAAGGTCACCTAGTCAATTAACAGCACAGATTGAAATTTGTGTGTGCCTGCCGCCATAGACTAATGCATGCACCTTCATCCCCACATTGGTCGGCAAAAAACCAGCAAGCCGAAGGCTCCCGGCCCAATGTATGTACTGAAGCACATGGAATCATGGTGCGCAGTCCGACCACTTCCAATTAATTCGATATACGTGGAATGTCATCAACTGTACGGTAGCTTGAGCCCTGTAGTTATGCAACGTATACGTGGTATGAAGGCGCGCTCGAGACGCGATCCTATTCACTCATTAAAATTAGACAGGGTTCGAACCTGTGCTTTCAATATGTAGATTAAAGGGTCAAATTCATTATTGCACCTTAATCATTTACGGTGCGGTACTCATGGGATTGCATACCGCTATCACCGCTACCTTACCAATGTAAAGGATCATATGTACAATTATACTGTGTATATATACACATGTAGCTCGCCAGAGCTTCGTATCCACACGAAAACAAATTCTACAAAAGAGTCCTCAAAGCGGCGCCCCGCATATGCACAGCCTGTCAACGTTTGCAGCTGCCAGCTGTCAATCAGTGCCCTTGCCACATGCGCCGCCATGTCCCCGTTGTCTGCGTCAACATGCACACATGCAGCCGCCTGGGCGGGCTGCCATTTCGAGGCTCGACCAGGGACACGGCCACATGTGATCGCCCGGTGGCCCACCCAGGCCGGCGGTTTATACAAGCCGGGTAAGTTTTACCGGCATCTCTACATAGGGCTATCATGGTTGAACATGTCCTGACATGGGGCCGTACGTTCAGCTTTTCGCTGAAAGGCTCGTCCGCGCATAGGCATCTAGCACAAGTACTAATCCTTGCGACGGTCCACCTCAAAACCATGGACCAACGCAGAGTTTCGTAACTTTCTGTTGGCAAACACAGCAAAAACTTACTGGAGCTGTTTCCAGACCTTGTTGTGAACCTCGAAAGGTACTGACAAGCAGGCACCTGGCAGCAGACCTTCAAGAGACCCTTCACAACTAGGGAGCTTGGAAGTAGCCATAAAGGCAACCAACGTACCAATCTTGGTATGAGCAGACGCACTACGCCCGACAACAGATTTGCAGGCACCGTCCGAAGGAACTACTGTCCTGGATAGTATTTCCAGGATTTCAACAAAGCTTAGCTGCTTTCTAACTGACTTTCAAGTTAAATACTGAGAGGTCCGTGATTCATGCTGCTGCCCTGTACACGAGCCAAGCCTGTTTGGCGTTCTTCTCCTTTTCGGCCAATAACGTTACTTTTTGTTCCATGTCCCTCCGTAACTCGATGAGTTTGAGTTGGAAGGCGCTGAACACGGCGTCGAACTCCAACGACTCATCTGCCAGATGAAGAACTGAAGGTCAGGAACGTGGAACACGCAATACCCCAATTGACTGCTAGCTCTTCAAGAAACCTTTTTCGGAATGTCCGGCCCAGGACAGCATGCTAATCGAAGAACGAGATCTTTCTTCGACAAACTCAAGCATTACGAAAACACACACCGCACGACTGGTAGAACCTATCCCTCAAAAGACCTCCTTCGCGAGGGAGCAACGATGCTTTCATGATGACGCCCTGGCGCTCACCCGTCGTGCTGGCCGCGAGGATGCCCAGGTGTTGCCTCACGTTGTCCTTCTTGCGCATCGCGTCCCGCCCCGCGCGCTTCGCCTCCGCGGCCAGCGCGTTCTTGCGCTCCCAGTCCCTCTGCAGGAACGCGCGCTGCTTCACCACCAGCGCGCCCAGGCTCGCGTCGAACGCGTCCGAGCGCTCCAGCTCGTTGAACACCGCCACCGCGTTCAGGTCCAGCACTGCCGGGAGCACCTCTGCGGCGGCAACACACGACGTCGGCTTGGGAGGCACGCAAGGAAGGCGCTTCGATTTCGAACATTAAATGCAACAATCTTGATTCCGACATTGCATCACTGATAACCGAGTCCATTGGCTAAAGTGAGGCAGTTGAAGCGGGCAGAAGGTGACTCCTGGACCTTACTCCCAACCCTCGCAACATTTCTTCCGCAAAGCTCCAGGTCCAAGCTGCAGACGGCCGCCGGCCTCACCGAGCAGGTCCACGATCGCTTGCAGACACTTTTGGCGCGCCGCTCGCACGGGCTCCCCCCCGTCCTGCTCTCCGGCGGCGCCCAGCCTCTGATCCCGCAGCCCCTCCCGCTGCGCGCGCAGGTGCACGAGCTCGGCCGCGAGGCCGCGCTGCTGCACCTCCAGCACCGCCACGCGCTCGTCCAGGTCGGCCATCTCGCCCTCCTCTCGCGCGCGCACGTCCCGCGCACCCCGTGCCCGCAGCGCCTGCACCAGGGCCGCGATCTCCGCGTCCTCCAGGTACTCCTGCTGCGTCTGCTCCGCCGGAAACGTGAGGCCCCGCTCCGCAAGGTCGACGCCCCACGAGGGCCCGCCATGCTGCGCGGCTTCCCCGGGGCCTTTCTTGGCGCGGGCCTTCTTCGGGCTGCCCGTATCCTTGGCGGACGACTTCTTGCTCCGCACCCCGCTCTCGAGGAGTTTCGCGGGCTTGAGCTTCTTCACCCGTCCACTCTTCTTAAGCAACGGCTCGAGCGAGAACTCCGTGCTCGGGAGGCGGCCCAGTTGAGCCGAGTTCGGCTGGCCTCCCTGGGCGGCTATCGTGGTCTCAGCGTCACCCTCGATTTTGCGCTTCTTGGCCAACGGGCCTTCCGACGAGCCGAACGGGAAGGCGGCCCCGCCGGCTGCCGCGCTCCGCCTGGCCTCTTCGGCCGCCTGGTCCAGGGCCCTCTTCTCGCCGGGCTTGCGCACGATGAGCCGCTTGATCACCTTCGCCTTCGCGGGGGCGTCCTCGCCGGGGATGCCGGCTGCGAGGAGGAAGAGGCGAGTGATGAAGAATTGAGCCCGGAACAGTCTGCCATCTCAAGCGCGGTCCAAAAAGCATTGCGGATGCAGAGAAGAAGACGACGGAAGATGGAGAGTGGGTGGAAGTCTCTCCGCACCATGATAGTGAAGAACTCCGAACCCTCTACGTGATAGCTTACGAGCTCGTGGGAGGTAGCCACGTACATTCTCCCCGTGCTGACCTCCGCGGATTCAAAGAAGTCCGCATAGGGAGAGCGTCCAAGTCGCAATTTGGAAAAGAGAAGAGGCCCCAGGCAGTTCGCAACCAAAGACTTCGTGACTCCATAAAGTCCAATCTCTGTGCGAACGATGATGTATATCCTTTCGAGGACGTTCGGAACACTAGAATATTTGTCTCCTGAGAAGTGCACAAAGTCACAGTTGTGACCAGTCCTACTTTTCTCTGTAGGCGTCGTTGACCTCTGGCGGAATCGAGCAGGCAGTGCAGAGCCCGGGATCCAAACGAAGACGGACGAGTCGTCCCAAGTCACCAGACTGTACTGCTAAAGCTAGAAAGACAATCAGGCTGACAATATCAAGACATGACGGTGAAAGTTGTCGTCAGAGTTGGATGAGTACGGTTTAAATTAAGATGGAAGAAGTTCATTCCTTACATACGACATGGGGTTTCTGGAAGCAGTACTCGCCACTCGAGAGATTATGGCGACGACCCTCTACACAAGAGCTCAGGGGAAATACTGACACGAAACGTTGCCTGTCACGCGGGCGGCGCCAGCCTCTCGCCCACTCACCGGGTGGCACTCTGGTGAGCCGCTTCAGCTTCTTGACGGCGTGCACCGCCTCCGGCTTGGGCCCCGGCGTCTTCACTTTAGTGGGCGCCCCCAAGGCGAGCGCCTTGCAGATGTCGGCCTTGAGGTCCGGCACCTTGATGAGCTTCTTGTGGATGTCGTTAGCGCCCGACAAGATGAAGAGCAGCAGCGACAGCAGCGGCTGGTGCAGCGACCACACCGTGTCCGCGTCCACCGCCGGCGGGCCGGCCGTCAGCAGCGCGCGCACGGCGCCAGGGCCGCGCGCCTTGATGACGTCCTCCACCCCGAACAGGATGTCCTTGGCGCCCTTCTCCTTGAGCCGCATGTTGAGAGCGGGCCAGGACGCGGGCCGGTGGACCAGCGCCTCGTAGCTGTCCATCACCAGCTGACTCAGCTGCAGCCGCACAACATGACGGGCCAAGGACGTCAGCGGGTCTGGTGGGCCGTCGCACAGCGTTCTACTCGCTCGAGGGCTCCAGAAACTTGTCTCGAATATAGTTAGAGTTGCTCTGCCCACGACCAGCAAGCCCTCGTTGCTTTTATCGAGAGTTTCGGTTCTTGATCTGCACGCGGTTCCAATGAGCGAGCAGCTGTGGGTAAGTCGAAGCACAGCAACCCCGTTGCTCGATTTTGATTGTCTGACTGGGAAATTCAATCAGTGATGTTCGGTACAAGCCGCATTCTTCGATAAAAATGGAATCAATTTTCCCTCTCGAACAGAGAGTGAACCAACTAGGAACTGTGACCAGGGTTGCTTGTTGACATTGAGAAACGTTGAAGCAAGAGGACGTCTTCCCAGAGTTCTTTCCATGCCCAAGCTTTCGTCCTCCATCCAGAGTTTTCAGAACGCACCGAGTGCTGCAGAGCTCGTTTTGACGGTTTGGTTGTGCTGAAATCGTAAGAATTCAAAGTCCTTCTCGTGCTCTCCCACAAAACGATAGACAGAACAGCTGAAGGGGGGCAACCGATTCCAGTTTTCGCTGGAATTTTGTCCCCAACTTGATAGTTGATATTTTCCAGATTGTCAATTCGGAGAAGTACTTCGGTGCTCTCAGTGCCGATTCTGCTCCATTTCCATGTTAGATAAGCCCCAGTGGCCTTGACTATTCCCTTTTAAATGTCGGATCAAAGAAGGTAGGTCCATCGCCACAGAGATATCCGCTATGACAAGCCCATTCCTTCGAAGAGGAGAATTCGGAGGCGTTCCACTAACAGCCTCAACGTCCGGTTCTGTCACCGGCGCTTTGCATATGAGTAAACCGAAAAGCTGGGTTCAAGAACAACCTCCCGGAAGACCTGGCTTTCCAACTGCGTGAATTTGCCTGGCCTGATTGCTTCCAATTGGTCGTATGACCATGAATCAGTTTAAAATGCTTTCCCAACAAGTGAGAATGCTAGAGCATCCACCACGGTGAAGTGTGGGCGTAAATCCATTAGCAACGTCGAAATTTGGTGCCTGGGCGAAAATTGCTGGGCCTACAAGCTTTGGCAAATCGAAATCACTGATAGTTCCGTTTCCATCAAGGCATTCTTCACTCACTTTTTCTTGTCTCTCTGCACCGGCCCAAAGGGGCAGCTGCGAGGCTCCTTCCGTTGGCGTGCGCGCATCTACAAGCAGTAGGAAAGGAGTGGTTGCAACTTCAAGCCAGTTCATCATCAAATCAGGACGATACTACAACCATTAAGAGAGTGGCTGAAAGTGCAGCCACAAAACAAACGGTCTTCAAGCAAGGCAGTCAGCAGAGCGCGCCGGTTTCAACCACACATACCTTCAAGTACTTGGTCCGTCAGGTTTGCGGTCTGTACTTCCTTTGTTTCAAGAGTGTCCATCCCTGTCAGATGCCACATATAGTCAGTCAGCTTAGACAAGTTTATGGTATTATTGGAAGTGCCAAACTTGCTGGACAAATCACCTCAAGCCCACATGATAAAATGCGCTCTTGATGGATTAGCAAGAGCGCAGATCAACATTTTCAACAGCCATGCTAGCATTTTGCTGTAAGATTTGGGGCGCAAGACAGCAGAGAAAAGGTCGTGCCAAGGCTCTACTCCATTCAGGACTATGGCACCGCTTGGGGCTAGCGTCCTCGTCACAAGTGCATTAGTAGCAAGTATATTGCTTGATTGGTTGGACTTCCTGAACAATACTGTCTGCTAAGAGGTTGCCAGGGCATGTGCAGCTACTGATGAAAGAGCCAAAAGTTCGAACGCAAACCTGCTTATGATCCACTGGTGATATGGAGAGAGCTTTCCCAGGAGTTGTGTTTGAGAGGACCTCCTCCGGCACCGAGCATCCGGCGATTGCTCGTCAATGACCAATCTGCTCGAATTAAGCAGGCTTATCCGAATGCCACCCAGAGGCGTCGTAGCAAAGACGTTGTGATTCTCTGAAGCAACATGTAAGAGCTACTTTCTGTTCTGAGAGCCGGGCTTGCCCAGTCAAGGACGAGTATGATCACCAGCTTCAACAAACCCTACACCACCACTGACAATCTGAAACAGAGACAAGAAGTCGAACATCCGAGATCTTTGTGAAGAGTCGAGAACGTCGACACTCTCTACAACATAGATGGTAACTACTATTATAGCAATGTCGGATGACTGAGCTCGTTCTGCTGCTGATATACATTCGTGCTATCAAGAACTCCTGGGTCAAGCCGCCAAGATTGTTGGCGTGACATCATGCCCTCGTACTAAGCTTAGGCACGTTTCTTGAAGATGTTGGACCCGACGGCTCAAAGATAGACGAGCTCCTGAACCAGAAGGCCGGACAGCATGAGCACCTTCAATTGATCTGCTCAGAGTCAGATGGCCGCCATATCTCGCTTCCTCGAGCATGACGATAATTTTTCGAAGCTCCGTCGATACATGTACTTTGCCCGTCGACTTATTTTTGCCGCTTCCAACCGCGCGCATATTTAGATTTGACGATTACACCGATCGACGGCGCCGCGGAGGCGACCAGACAAGCAAACAGCCCCAGCGGCGCAACGAAGACCTAAAGACGGCCGCATGACGTTAACACTAGGACCGATAACCGTGCCCAACTGGGCACGGCGTGCCCAAACGGGCACGGTTAACTTGATTTCGATTTAACGGTCGTAATTTTTACGATTCTTGGAAATATTCGAGGTTTCGGCACATAACTAGACTTAGTGGTTATAGTAGGTCTGAAAACCGGCCGGTGACCCTAAATTTGGGTTAGGGTTTATCGTTAGCAAACGAGGGGTTAGTAAACAGCCAATAATTGATAAAATTTGATATATTCGGGCAACGACGGTCAAATCAAGCATCGTAACCACGTGCACAAACCCAAAACGGCCTACCAAACTCATTCCAACACATCAAATGTGAAAAAACGGCTAAACATAATCGGTTTATGATTCTTCTCTATTATTTTGACCCTTATTTCACCCCTGTTCGAATGCGCGAGTGAACCCCGTAGCTATACTAAATCAAAAGATGTGATGTTGCAAACAAGCGTAATGTAGATGTCAAACACAAGGTTTTGTCCCATGAGAAGCTCCGGAGTTCGAACGAGGGCAAAGTCCATGTTTTTGGGAATGGAACGTGGCTATTTCAAAAAAAACTGCGAATAATGATGTTCCGTGGATCAAAGTACATGCATGGACTTGAGCGATTTTTGCATTTTTCTCAATACTTGCCATAGGAAAGCTTTTTAGCATCTCTTTGAACACCTAAGAAAAGTCTACTTGAAATTGTGGAGTGAAGGTGCTCATACTACTATATAACCATAACCGGGCCCAAACGGGCACGGCTGGATTTTGGCCCAGTTTTTGCTGCAGACCCATTCTCCTTTCATACTTTGTATACAAGTCAAAACATAGATTTTTTGATAACCCAAGGCGTTGCCTCTTAAAAGGTACCCACATAATCACATAGTAGAAAGGATTTCTTCAAAAACTTGTATTTTCCAATCAGATTGAGGCAAAATGCAAATAATTTAACCGTGCCCAATTGGGCACGGTTAGCAATCGGTCCTAGTGTTAACCGATAGAGACTCACCGTTCCACCGTCCAAACGTCACGTGTGTACGTCACATGAGCGGCATTGCCGGCCATTGTGGCCATTTGGGCAAGCTGCAAAATATGTATCTGAGAATTCGGCGTCCAACCTCCAACATAGCCAGGTCCCCCAGGCTGGGTCTGAAGGTCTGAGCTGCAAAACATGCAGCCACCCGAGCCTGATCATCGAACGTGACATGCAGCATATTGGCCAGGGCGCCCTGCATGAAACAGAAGGAACTGGCAAATACCTACATAGCAGCGAGATGCCACACTTCCTCATGCATGGGTTGGCATCGAGTTGAATGCTAAACATATTATCATCGGCCCCGCGATCATAACGTGTTATGCGCCTCAAGCATGCGCCTTCCGGAGTTGCAAATCTGAGCAAGTGCAGAGTCGAACAGGATTGGCTTCCTTTTTCGAGATGCGGACGCCCGTGCCTGGTAGCAGGCGGCCAGCAGCTGGTGCTAGGAGCTGCTTGTGCCTTTTCGTATTCAGGCGTGACGGCAACAGCTGATGTTTGACACTTGTACTACAATCTCGGTTGCAGGGGTGCTAGCCTGCTGACTAGATCTTGCAAACCTTTAGTAATGCTCATTTGTTAGTTGTCAAAGACTACCCGCGACCTTGCAGCAACCTTCCAGCGTGCCCAGCAGAGATAGAGGAGCTGGGCCGGGACTCTTGCGGCCAACTTGAAGGCCTCCCAGTGGACCTCGGAAGTCGGCTTTCGCAATGATCCTATGTAACTCGCTAGGCTGCATGTCTTCAGTTGCGAGTTGGCAGGTTGCATGGGCCGTATGGTCGAGAGCTCGACAAAACGACGTCAGAGCACTCTCTCTTGACGATCATAATTCTGGCGGACCCATTCACGAACCATGCTAAAATGACCATGATCTTCCGTACGCTCACAGAGCGAAGATGAATTAAAGGATCCTGTTCCATACTGCCCAGAAGGAAGTCCATACGATCGCGACGTAAGATGAGGCTCGGCAACAATGTTCTCTTACATTCAATGATTCGAACCGTATAAACTAGCAAGATCTTACCTTAATCAAAGTGCTGATACTTCCGCTGATGTCAGCGGGCTGCACTATTCCAGGAACAGATCGGACCACTAGCGTGAGGATTGGCAACAACTTGCGAAGTGCCAAGCCTGCGAGCGGGATAGTCGGAAGAGAAAACAGAATTGCCGATGACCAGGGTGACAGGGTAGGTAATTTGTGACAGCTGAGGCTATGCACGTCATGGTAAAAACGTGACTGACTTTCTTTGACAAACCCAAGCGGCCTGAAACGAACGGGTCGATCTAGCGGCCCAGTTGCTCAGTTGGAGAATCGTGCCTGCATGAGCTTATGCAATGCGAACCGAGCAGGGCCCTTTCAGCCTGGTAAATGTCCTTGCAGCTCGACTACTTTTATGGGCGTATACCTAGTGCAACAGCTAGGCAGGCACGTGTACAATTGGGTGCTTACATGGATCAGGAAAGTGTTGTTCCTGTCGGATGCATCTTTACGTGTGCACTTCGGCACATGTTAGGGTCACGCACAATCAACTTGTACGATATCGGGCGAAACGGCTCTTACAGACAGGATCAGAAGCCGTCAGTCTTGAGAGTTGAGTCAAGTACTAGGTTAAATCTAACTTTGGCACCAGTTGAGTCTCAGAGGCTCAATCGGCTCAAGCAACATATCAGGTCTGCGAAGAGATTGAGCAGCACCGCACGTCACTTGGGACCAAGGTAGTTGCACTGGATGCCTCCAAGCAGTACAGGATCTACCATTCAAAACAAATAGATGCATGGAAGTCCCTCGGCTGCCAGATTCTTAGGTTCACTAGCTTATGATTATACACTGCGTGGAAGTATTCTACTTCTATCCCGTGACCACAACCTGTGGCCGGCCCTCTGTGAGTATATATTACGCGCGCTGCAGTGATCTATCAGACCGTTACAGTTATCTGGAAGGATGATTCGTTTCGTAGCGCACCTTTCTTCCCGGAACCCTTTTATGTCAATAATTATCGGTGCTCTCTACGGACTGCCTGGAAGACGTCGATTTCGTCATCGACGTTGCCTCTTGCACCTCAATTTCAGTGCTTTCTGTTGACTGCCTGGAAGACGGCAATCTTCTCATCGACGTGGCGTTTTGCACCTCCAACTCCGCATTCGCCTTGTCCGTAGTTTGTAAGGACTTTCGTCGTAGGGAAGTGGCTCTACGGAACGCATGGCTTCGCTCGCTTTGCTCCCCGTCCCCTCTTCTGCTACTGCCAACGTCACCTTGACTGACGGCTGACGCCAGGCCTGGTTGCACCAAGGCGAGCCCCTTTGCAAGTCGACCAAAAGAAGGTGATTGCCCGAGCCTGGTGGACCGGCCAGCCAAAACCTTCGCGGGAGCCAGATTCGATTCTGAAAGGGACGTCTCCAGCGGCCGACCCTGCGTCACGGCCGTGCCGGGCCGCCAGTCGACCAGCGCGGGGGGGCTCACGGGTGCTGCCAGGGCCGTTGTTGGCCGCACGATCATACCCTCCTGCCCCGCACTGGGTGTGGAAATCAACCGTCTCGGCGCAACGGTCGGGCGTTTATGGCGGTCCTTGTCCGTTTGGCCGGCGCTTGCTGAGGCGGCGAGCGCTCCACGGGCGGGAGCCGGGCCAAAGTGCGGCAGGCGGGGCAGAGGCAGGGGGTTCGCCAGCTCGGCGAGTGCCTGCTCAGGGGACGCCTTCTGCAGCTCAGAAGTACGTCCGGGGGCCTTTGCGTCGGCCCGCCCCGCCCATTGGCCCCACTCACTTGCGCCTTGCTCCGCGAGACTCTCTTCATTCTCGAGGCCCTCTCCACTCTCCGGGTCATCAAAATCCCCTCCGCCAGTCCCCCAGGCGACCGGCCCGCCGCGCAGGCTGCCGTGCGCGGCGGCCGGGTCCAGGTCGCGCAATTTCTGAGTGAGCTGCCTTTGAATGGCGCGGCTGTGCGCGACGCGCGCCTGCTGCTGCCGCAGGAGCGCCTGCAGCGTGGCCACCTTGCGGCTGGTGTCCGCCAGGTTGCCCAGCAGCACCACGTTCTCGCCGCGGATGCGCTCCATGTCCGCGCGCGTCTTCTCCTCCGTGCGCGCGATCGCGTCCTTGAGCACCTTCACGAACCGCTCCAGGCACCGCCTGCGGATAAGAGCCGTGCATAGTCAGAAGCACTTCAATTTAACACCCCAGGTTTTGGCAAACAGTGGCACTCAATCTCGCGCAGCTTCATTGGATGCGCTGTGCAAAAAATTTGGAAACCGACCTCAAAGGAATGTCGCTGAGCGCAGCTCAAGTCCGCCTCTTCCTCAAAAGCAGAGCACTGTAAGCGAGTCAGGCTGGAAGCGCTCTACCCATCCTGGATGCGGGTTGTGGGCGGGCATCAAGTAAGCCCCGTCAAGGACAGCGCGAGGTGCCCAGAGAGCGCGGAGCGCGTGCCCTGCGCGCGCTCACTTTTGGCGGAGGATCTCGTCGTCGGCGACGCGCGCCTCGGCGACGGCGGCGGAGCGGTTGTCGTCGACGTAGGCGGCGTAGAGCGCCTTGATGCAGCGCGGCCACTCGGCGCTGTCCTGGTCGCGCACCACCTTGCACAGGTCCGCCGTGAACAGGTCGATGTACCGCTCCTTGGCGTGCACCGCGCCGCGCAGCGCCTCCATCTCGCGCTCCTGCGCCGCCACCTTGGCCTTCAGGAAGCGCTGCGCTTCTTGCCACGTCCAGAACTCCGCCGCGAACGCCGCCTCGCGCTCCTCTGCCTCCGCCAGTTTCTGCACCACCACGCACGGCAAGTGAGGAGCAGAGACCACCTGAGAGAGTCGAACTCGCAGACATGCGCACGGGGTGTACCTTTGCCCTGCCTGTCACCTCTCCTCGATGCGTCAGCACCCAACGTTAACCAGTCTGCAGACACGCAAGATTGAAGCTTGCACAACGCTGACATCAACATGGTGCGTTGCCTGTCGGTGGACACCCCGTCTGCCCCTCTGGCAGCGGAGTGGGCGGGCGTGGCCGCGGGCGCACCTGTTTCTGCGCGGCGTTCTCTGCCTTGAGCGGCTCCTCGGTGCTTTCGAGCTTCCTGATCTTGGTGTCCCGGATCATGGCGTACGCCTCGTGCTCGCCGATGGTCTTGCGCATGCGCAGGATCTCGTCCTCCTTCTCCAGCAGCAGCTGGTCCGTGTCGCGCCGGTGCGCCTCCAGCACGCCAATCCTGCCACGCACCGCGAGTCAGGCAACGAGCAAAGCAGATGCGGGAGGCTGAGGAACATGCCGTACGACCAAAAGACCGGCATAGCGGGGGATCTGGAGGCTGATGCAGGGAAAACAGAATGTGGAAGGCCCCTACAAATTGCATCTAGAAGACGACGTGCCTTCAGGAACGTCTCGGACCCACAAGGCAGGTTTGGAGAGATGTCCACTCACGACTGTCCTATTTATAAGTGGGTCCCGTAATCCTGAAAACAGAATACCCTCACCACCATTTCCGTTAGCATTTCAAAGCAATTAATTAGTGCGAGAGGTGCCCCGGTTCACTCGAACCACAGTGTCAGGCAGACCTCCCGAATCATTCATCACGCGTAAGCCTGGCACCAGAGACGACAGCACAAGGCTCTAACGACACACTACTACTTGTCATATAGCCTCCTCTTCGGAGCGCCCCCTGCAGTTTGTCCTTGTGTGCGCGGCCTCACTTGTCCCGCAGCACAGCGTTCTCGAGCTCCAGCTTGCGCGCCTGCTCCTGTCGCTCGCGCACCTCCTGCTCGAGCCGGATCTTGCGGCCCTCCGCCTCGGCGGCCTTGTTGCGCTCAAAGATGGCCTGCCCGCGCGCCTCGAATGTGCGCTGCACCTGCGTCTCGTACTCTGTGCGCGCGCGCGTCATCACGTTGTGCAGCTCCTCCTCGTTGATCTCGAACTCCTCCACCAGCTGCGTCTGCACCCCACGTAACACGAGCCACGTCAGTACAAGCTATGAAAGATCTCTCGGCAACGCAGGAGATCATCAAACCCGTGAGGGCTTGCAAACTTATTTGACCCCTACTCCTTTCAAAAGCTAGACAAGCAACAGCTAGACAAGCAACTGAAAGTCAAAAGGTTCCGTCGACAACCTTTGCGTCTATTAGAAAGCCACCATATCGCTGAGGTCCCTGACCAGGGCAGTGATATGCAGGGACACTGCGCGCGCGCACCTCGGCCTTGCGCAGCTTGGACGCCGCCTCGCGGTGCAGCTTGTCGATCTCGGCCAGCAGCTTGGCCTCGTACGCGCGGTGCTGCTCAAGCACGCCCTCCGTGGCGGCCTGGTGCTCCGCCAGCTTGGCCGCCACGCGGCTCTCCAGCTCGCGCCGCAGCACGCCCAGCTCCGCCTCCAGCCCGTCCGCCCGCCGCGCCTCGCGCAGCAGCTGCACAAACACGGGACACTCAACGCGCGCGTCGACACCAAGCAAGCAGTCACTGAGGCCCCTACTTTACCATCGCGAACTTGTCCAACCCCGAAAGGACTTGAATTCTCTCAGTAACGAGCAAAAATTGCAGTAACCCAAGGCTTTCGGATCTACGGGAAACTCATAGTCCCCTGTCAGCAAGTGTTCCATCTACGGGCTGGCCCCGCCCCTGGTAGCGGCCCCCACCTTGATGTCGCCGCGCTGCGTGGCCTCCTTGACGGCGTCCTCCTTGTGCTGGCGCTCCACGGCGAGCGTGGTCTGGTACCGCTCCTCCGCCTCCATGGCCGCCTTCTCGTGCTCCTTCACCGTCTGCCGCAGGCCCAGCTCCGCGCGCTCCGCCACCTCGTCGTGCTCGCGCAGCCGCGCCGCCGCGTCCTGCTCCACCCGGTGCAGCTTGTACGCTGCCTCGTCCGACAGCTTCTGCAGGCTCCACCGCAGCTCCTGCAGCGCAGCGCACGCGGAACGAGTCAAACTTCCGGTAGCAGCAACTCGTGCCCGCCGTTGCAGGCACTAAGCGTCTTCGCCAAGTGCCTGTTATGCACTCAGAAAGACCACGGACAACCTCGCTTCCCCTTCTGCGTGCCAAACACTGACAGTGCTAGAAAGATATAGAGACCACCCAATGCTGAGGGTGAGCCAAGAAGCCCCTTGTGTTCCGACACTCGCATCGTGATGAATGTTTGTGGCAAACTCCACATATTCCGGCCACCGCTCGCGTGCGCACCTCTTTCTCGCGCTCTTCCTTTTGTAGCGTGCTTTTCTTCACGAGCACCAGCGCGTCCGTCGGCGCCTCCTCCCCGCCCACCATCGGTGCGGCGGTCGCCTGCGCGGCCTGGTCGGGCGCCGCGTCCCGGTGGCCCGCCACGGCCGCGACAAACACGATGCCGTCCACGCCCGCGCTGAACACCAGGCCGGCAGACTCTACGCAGCACAGACCCGTAAGGGGGCCGCCGTGCAGGAACAGCTCGGGGGACGCGCGCGAGCCGTCGGAGGCGAGAGGGTACTGCCGCAGGCTGAGGGCCCCGTTGCGCGCCCCGGTCGCCAGGAGCGCCCGCGAGAAGAGGCCGGCCATCCAGACGGTGGCAGAGTGGCCGCCAAAGTGCTCCGACACGATGTTGGTGCGGATGATGGGCGACACCGCCGCCACCGGCGGCCCCGCGCGGCCGCGCTCCAAGTTGCGGCTCGAGAGCGCCCCCCCCGCGCGCTGCAGCGCCTCCGAGGAGTGGCTGCCGAAGCTGGCGCTGGCAGGGACGGAGCTGCCCTCCCGCCGCAACGACGCATGCGGCGCCAGGGCCTCCGGGCCCGGCTGGCCGCCCTCTGCCGCGGCGAGCTGCTTGCCGGTGTCGAAGACGCGCAGGGGCGTGCTGGCGCCGCAGGCGAGGAGCGCGGTGCGGTCGTGGTTGTAGAGGACGCAGGTGTAGTCGGAGCCCTTGATGACGCTCTCCTCCGCGCGCGCCAGCCGCTCCATGCTCCAGCTGTACACCGTGCCGTGCGCGTCCGCCGACACCAGGTACAGGCTGTCCGCCGACCAGCACAGGCTGCTCACCGGCTTCGAGTGGCCCTGCGGCAGGGGGGAAGAAGAAGAGTGAGGCTGCGAAAGGCGACTGAGAACACCCTTGTAAATATAGGAGTGGAGGAGTTCGGTTCTCAGAGCAAGTTACCCCAGCCTGTCGACAAACGAAGTAAGAATCGCACTGAGGGGCTAAAGAACTCCGCAGGTATAGGAACCATCCTACGATGCGTTTGGATATGCAAAATGTCACAGGATACGTAGCCTGTTTCAACCCTGTGCCGGAGCCCTCAGCCAGGGACGCTATAACAAAAACCTCTGGCCACTCGTTTCTTACTTGCACAACTTCGATTCCGGGAATTTATGCGCATGCTATCCCCATGATCTTCGGAACAAGCCCCCCCCCACCACAGGGTACGCACGGCTAACCTTGAAGGCGACGAGCGGCGTCCAGTCGAGGGCGGAGTAGACGGTGAGCTCGCGCGGGGTGGCGGCCGCGGCGAGGTGCCCGCTGGGGCTGTACTTGAGCTTGCTGCAGTCGCGCAACGTCAGCTCCGCCGTCACCTGCAGCCTGCACCGCAGCGGCTCTCATTAAGGTCTCCTCAGCCTTTGCTGCGGAACTGCCGACTTTTGCGCTGCGCCATGGCGGAAAGGGAGGGCCCTCGACCATTACTCGCGCGCCTAGACGAACCAAGGGAAGGAACCTTTTCGCCTTCCCAACTCCTGCCACGCCGAACACTTTCTTGTGATCTGTCTACGGAGGCTGCTACTGCAGTGCACCGGTCCGTACTGTCGTTTTCAAAAGGTAGTTACATGCGGACGACGCACATGACATCATTGACGTAAGCCTCTTCATAGACTTAGCGTCGGCTGGTAACGCTCCATCCTCATTCCGTTGTCCATCAGAACCCTGATCTTTGCTTTGCTTGCAGTGAGAGCAATGCCGTTGAGCTTGGATTGCGGCGGCTCACTTGTTGACGAGGACGTAGTAGACGAGCACGCGCTGCGGCAGCGCCACCAGCAGCTGGTACCCCCACGGGTTGAACGCCACCGCGCGCGGCTCCTCCTCCAGCCTGCACCGGGCGGCAAGCACGCCAGTCTAGAGGCCACCAAACACCGGTCACACCAAGATGGCTCTGCCTCGTCAGCCACTTTCAAGGCAGGAAGCTCCCATCAGTAGGATAGGGGTGTGGAATGAGGTCATCTTGTCGCTGGAATGCACGCCGAAGCCGGAAGGGCAGCAGAGCCTATCTGGGCGGTTGCGGCGTCTCACATGTGCACGAGCTCTGCGGTCCAGTTCTTGTAGTCCCACACGCGGAGGCTCTGGTCCGCGGACACGCTGGCCAGCAGGCAGCGCCGGGGGCACACGTCCAGGCCCAGCACGTCACCCGAGTGGAAGCCTGCACCGCCACACGGACCGCACAACACAATGAGCCGCACGCCAATACTGGAGCGGCAAAGTGGCCCTGGCTCGCCCCAGACTAGAGAAGCTCCCGAGCGCAAAGCCAGCGCAACAAGGTGTTGCTGGGATATGTCGGGGCAGAGGGTTAGCCACCGATCGTCAGGGGAAGCGAAGTCCTTCCGCGGGACGGCTCACCGGTGAGCATGGGCGTGAAGACCTTGCTCGAGTCCTGTTCCGCGTCCATGGCCGTCAGGCTTACCGACAGCACACTCTCGCCCTGCACCGTAACAGCACCGCACGCCATCAGCGCAGCTCCACATCACCCCTCCCGGCGCAACGTCGCCGTGCATGCAAACCGATGCGCTTGATGAAACGAAAGCTGCACAACTGGAGCTGACGCATGCCAGCTTGAGGCATGTGCAGGCTGCGCGCTTGGCAACGAGAGCACAGAGAGAAGGGGGCGATCACGCAGGGTGGCCCCCGTGGGCGGGGCGTACCTCGAGGACGACCTTGGCGCTGGCCTCCGCCGGGTCGAGCGCAATGCAGCTCAGGGAGGCCTGGCCTCTGCACCACAACAGGCATGCTGAGCGGATGGAAAACTATGGGATGCCCTGGCGGAGAGCGTACGAAGGGGCATCGATGCTGGGGCGCGGTGTGTGGGAACGGATTGCGCATGCCTCAGATGGTCACGACAATCACGGAAAGCAGTGACGGTGGACTGGCACGGCAGCCGGCTCACCTGCCAGCTGGCAGCTCCTGCTTCGACCATTCTCCAGAAGCCTGCACAGAGTAAGCGAAAAAGTTCAGGAGCTATGCACTACAGCAACTTTTCACGATATACGAAGCGGTTTGCCCTCAGTTGTTAGATGCAGCGGTACGGGTTTCCTTGTGCCTGGCTCCTCACCACGTCATTAGCTGGGGCTTTGTAGAGCAGCAGTCGGCCCAGCACGCTCCCGGCCAGGAAGCCGTGTGCGGTGGCCGCCAGACAATAGATGGGGCCGTTGTGATTCAGCCTCTGCACGCACACACAGCGCGGGGGTCAGCACGCAGGCAAGCGGCAAGAAAACACGCCACAAGGAGCCTAAAGGGTCTTCTGCGCAGAACAAATCCAGAGACAGATGCAACAAAACCGGAGTCGGTCTCGAGGAAGAGCAGGAGTCAACGGGTGACAGGCAACGGATATATGGCGAGGGAGGATTTGCTCACCTGCTGGACCTGTCCCTCGGCTATGAGGAACACCACCCCGTCACGGTTCGCCACGGCGAGGGTACCGTCTACGAGCCAGGCATGGTCCGTGTAGTCGGGCAACACTTTCTGGGTGGCCGGGGTGCGCATCATGGTCGCGCTTCGTGGGGTGGAGCAAGCCGAGGACTGGCGGTGGGTCCCCCCCAGAGAGCGCGGAGGGGGCGCCATGCCCGCCACAGACACGGCCTTGAGGCCCTTGTCATTCCAGCGCCACAGCTTGAATACGCGTGCGCCTGAAAAACAGCAGCCCGGATTTCTTTTAGCAAGGAGCAGAGTCGGGAAGAGCTCCGTCAAATGTGTTTCTCTCGTAGAAGTTACAAAGCGTTTTTGCAGTTTGACTCTGCTTGTGAAAAGGTGGTCGTTTGCAATACATCTGGGCAAGTAGCAATGGATGTCTTTCAAAGAAGGGAGGTCCAGGTCGTACCTGTGGTTGCCAGCTCGGTTGGCTCCTTCTTGTTGAAGCTGACACGGACCACGTCACTCCCCACACTGGCGCTGGCAAGCACCTGCCAGGAGACGCGCACACCGTGAGCAGCCCACAAGATCGCGTCGTACAAAATCTGGCACATGTGCCTCCACAGGTGCAAATGGACACAGATGTATGCTTCGCTAGCATCTGGGGGAAGGCACAAATCATAGTTATTTGATGAAGGGCAGCAGTGGAAGTCGTGGAAGTCAGTGGAAGTGTCCAGACAGTGGCGGGGGTGATGACAAAGGGCGGCGCCCACCTTGCTCTTTGGCAGATTCCAGCAGGTGAGCGTGGCGGCCTCATCGTTGGCCACTGTCACCAACGACTCGCCATCGGGGGAGAAGGCGCATGCAGTGAAGTCTGCAGAGGCCAGATCCAGAGAATCATCAACGCACCCCTGAGCTGCCGTGCTGTGTCAGCTAGTGTCAACAACTGACTGGCAAGTCACAACATGCTGACATCTTCTTAAGCCAGGTGGAAAGTGAGAGATACCGTGGGCCCCATCACACCGCTGCTGCACTGCCAGACAGCGGAGGCCTGGGCAGCCTCACCTCCCATGTACGCGGTCTGCAGCGTCTTCACTTTCTGGTGGCTTCTGCAGTCATAGATGGTGACCTGCCGAAAGATCGAAAGAGACTTTGTGTGCCACTCCTTTCAAATCTCCAGAAGCCCCAGCAATCCGTTCCTGAGAACGAAAATGAGTCAGACAGGAACCTTGGTGGTCTCCTTCTTTCATATGAAGCCCTGGCGCGTCTGCATCCAGTCCTATCGCATGGCACCCGCCCTCACCTGGCCTGCTCCCCTGACCTTCTCACACGCCGCCACCAGCTTCCCATTTGGGGACACCACCACCGCAGTGATGGCCTGCACCGCAGAGCTGACAATGAGAGGCGCCGAGAGAGTGGCAGCCAACCACCACGAAATGGGATCACCATCAGCGCAAGCGGACTGAGATACTGGAGGCTCTTGTAAGCAGCAGCGTAACACATTGTGATGGTGATGTCTATAAGGTCAGCTGGCGGCTGGCAGCTGACGTGGCCATTATCTATTGTCTTCCTGCTAGCAAAGGCAGGTTTTGCAGCTCCCCTTTGGACTGCATTCTCTTTGCATAGCTCAAAGAGCACCAGCGTACCTCAACATTGGCATTGCCAGTGGTGAACTGGAGGGGGGGGCTCCTCTCTTCGCTGTAAAAGGCAAGGACCTTGCCAGTTCCGTACACTGTTGTGGCCTCCGACACGCAGCCCAGCTGGCAAGGCCGCCCAGGGCCGCGGGGGCCGCCAAAGCCAAAGGCATGGCTGCGCAGAAGAGCAGGGGGAAGACCGATTCAGGAAAGAAGGGCCTTGATAGTTCACGCGGGCGGGCAGTCGCTGAACTTATCTGAATATATGTAGATTTATCTTCAAAGTGGCGACTCGGCAAGGGGAGAAGAATACGTTGGTGACTCATTGACGTTTGCAGTCATATACACATGGCCCGAAAAACGACTTAGATGGTGCCAGCACATGGGGATGTTCTTAGAGAGCGTGTCTAACGTGACCACCGAGCTACTAGGCGCCAGTTTCTTACATGGGCTCCAGGAAAGCTCCCTCCATGCTAACGGCAATGACAAGACGCCTTCTCAAGAGGCATCACAATTCCTGCCTCGTCTTCTTTCAGCTGCCAGGACGGGCAGCGAAGCTCCTGTCATCGTTGCATGGCCACTTTCAGTGCCGCCATGCTGTGAAAGCAGGGCTCCGTATGCCACTGTACGGTATGGTCTGCATTGGGACCGCCATGAGTCATGAACTTGAAGAAACCCTAAAATTTATCAGCAGGCCGGGGCGGCCGCCCGGCGCGCTTCTGAGTTTGCGGACGTAAAGTTCTTGAACCATGAGCATTGAGTACCTGTGAGCCGGCGTCCATTAGCGTACGAGACAGCGACTCAACGTGTCGAAACGCTGTCCCGGGTTGATCGTGCCCAATCTTCATCACCATGCTGATGTGGCATGTTCTTGCTTTAGCCGCTCTAGCGCGTGCAGCTGGGCAAGGGTGGCCAAGCAAACAGGTGCCAGCTCTGACGAGTCTGAGCAAGCAAGCAAGTTCTCTCTGCTCGCCGTGCCCAGAAAGAAGAATCAGCAGGAGAAGCAGGCGGGTTCAACTGCCTTCTGTACACGCATCACCAGCAGCTGCTGCATTGTAGCCCAGGGCCGGGCTGCAGAACGAGCTGAGGATTTCAAGCTTTCCACATTGCATGACTGTTGGGCTTGTGCAAAGGAGACAGCACACAGGTCCGTGCAGTTTTGATCCTGGGCACCTTTTGTCCCCTGAAAGAAGCACAATCAACGTAGTTGCATCTGGGCAAAGCCTGATAGGCTTGGTTTGCCAGAGGATTTATTGACTCAAAAGAGTTAGAGGCCAGCGGACGATGGCGCTGACCGCTGCATTGCAGCCCTCCACTCTACCTCGGTGGTCGCGCTCCCAATTGGACCATTTGGAAGCGGACCGCAGCGGCTGCTATTCCCATGCCCGCCATTCGTCCTTTTATGGCACCCAGCTGGAGCGCGTTCATCAGCGCAGCACCCAGCAGCCTGCCAGGCAATGCCGTGGGGCGGTGAAAGCAGCGGCCTCGGGGGAGGGGAACAGCGCCCCAAAGAGCAAAAAGACAAGGATACACAAGCTGGTGGAGGAGAAAGGGGTGCTGCTGATGCCAGGCTGCTATGATGCCCTGTCCGCCAGGATATTGCAGAAGAGTGGCTTCAATGCAGGTACACAGCTTGGTTTGATTCAGATGGTGCGAAGCCATTGATTGACCTGGCACCGTCCCTGTTGCTTTCTCTGATGCCAGATTCCTGAGGGCTGTGAAGTATCTGACATGCGCTGTGAGCAGACTTTGTTATTCTGTTCATTTTCTAGCTCATAGCCAGGTGTTTTGAATGACCGTTATGCACATTTGAGTACAATTTCTGCACTGGTGCACAGAAGATGCTTGTCCCAATTGCACCAACGACGACGTCCTCAGAGCAGGACTTTCAGCAGAGGTTGCACTTCCAACGGAGTCCTTTGACCCCACGGCAGGCCTGGCAATTAAACATCCTCAATACGTGCAGGGTTTATCTCTGGGTACGCAATGTCCGCTGCTTTTCTGGGCAAGCCAGACTTCGGACTCTTGACGCCTCCCGAGATGGCGTCCAATGCGCGCCACATCTGCGCAGCAGCAACCGACATTCCCATCATAGCCGATGCGGACACTGGGGGAGGAAATGCTCTCAATGTACAGCGAACAGTGAAGGACCTCATTGCGGCCGGGGCGGCTGGGTGCTTCCTTGAAGACCAGCAGTGGCCAAAGAAATGCGGCCACATGAGAGGAAAGCAGGTGAGCGAGTCTCCAAGCCTCGCAGCAAGAGGGCGCAGATTGCCCGACCAGCGCTGTGGGCTGGCATGATACCGCTGAACCTTGGTGACGTAGATCAACACTGCCCTATCAACATCTGCCTCCTTACATCTCTTGAAACATTGGAAATGCATCAGACTTGCATCATGTTATACTAGTGGATCAGCTCCATGCCACACTTTCGCTGATTGGAGAGAGTCGCGGGCTTCTTCACAGTTGCTTTGAACCAGCTGCGGTGCGCCCGCTGTGACCCTGCAGGTGATCCCCATGGAGGAGCATGCCCAGAAGATTGCAGCTGCACGGGACGCCATTGGCGATGCGGACTTCTTCCTGGTGGCCAGGACGGATGCCCGGGCCACGTCGAAGATGTACGGGTTGCAGGACGCCATTGCGAGGGCCAACCTCTACATGGAGGTACGGGACCTGTGCCTGAGCGAATACTTTATATTGCATGACTAGCTTCTTCCTTGAAACCTCAGTAATCTTTCAACAGTGATGGCCCGCACACTGGACGCCTCTTCTAAAATTTTGGTACAGTCAATAGGTCCTTGGTCCATGTGCTGATGGTAGAAAATGATTCTGACACAGGAGGCATGTCTCATGATCACGGCCAGGCTGAAGACATTGTCCCTGAGCATGACAGCAGTTCAACCCGTAGAGCATGCTTTTTGCCAGTGCTTTCTGTCTTATGTTGTGGCTTGAGCTCCACACTAGATTGGTAGTTTGGCAGCTCATGGTCGTACGAAAATTGGAGCATGGGCAGCGTCACTTCAAGCTTATGTACTTGTGTTTTTCGTTCTCTATTTGGTCAGTACTGGAAGAACTTGCTTCCCTACCACAGTCAGCCATCTTGTGTTAGCAAGGTGTAAACACGCTGGGATTGACAGCAGCTTTCGTTACACGGGGGCAGGAAGAGGTCCGTGCCGAGGAAATGCCCCCCTGGCCTATCCCTGACCGCCCACTTTGTACAGGCGGGAGCGGACGCCAGTTTTGTGGAGGCGCCCCGTGACGATGACGAGTTGCGGTTAATCGGGCGGCAAACCCAGGGGCTGCGGGTTTGCAACATGCTTGAGGGCGGGGTAACGCCGCTGCACCCGCCTGAGGAGCTTGCGGAGATGGGCTTCCAGATCATCGTGCACCCTTTGACTGGGCTGTACGCTGCGAGTCGGGCATTGTTGGACATTTACGACGAGCTGCACCGTAGGGGGACAACCAAGTGGAGTCTTAGAAAGTTGGCTACTTTTGAAGAGTTCAATCAGATAGTAGACTTGGAAGATCTGTTCCAAAAGGAGGCCAAGTACGGATTTAAGGAGCCTACAGAGCCGTACTACAGCAACGTAGACAGCAAGGGCGTATAAACCATTCCAGATTGAGACGGGGCGTTATAGTAGCGCGTCTGTTTCATGCTGCCTCAGTTTTGACCAGCTCCTTGGTGTGACCAAAGTAGCCACTTCAGTGTTGCGTCGGATTCAAAAAGAAACCATCAGCTAGCAAGTTTCAGCATGATTGCAGATCCTTATCGGCCGGCAGTGTGATCGAACCGCACAAATGTAATCCATTGACGTTGTCGATTTCTTGCAGTGGATCGAGATCAGACACCGAGCATATACCATGGCTACTGTCATGCAGATACATATATAAGGAAAAACATTCCAACATTGCCTGGCGGCTAGGGCCTGCACGTTGCAAACCGATTTGCATTGTTTATGCGCCGGCGGGCCCGCAGGGCCGCCTCTGTGCAGATTCAATATTCATGGCACACAGGCAATTAATCACTGCAGTTTGTGCATGCATTACATCCGAATCTTGTACATCATATGGATCTGCAGATGGTCATGCAGCTAGCTAGGCGGCCACGCACGCGGCATGTGTGCATGCGCATATTGGCTTGCCTCTTTTACGCAGTAAAATATGCGAACTATTGCTTTCGTGTCAACCGCGTTTTTGCGACGCTGTACGACGCCGCTGTGCGGAAGATAAGGAAGCCGGGTCTGCCGCGGCTTCCGGTTGGCCAGAGTTCGATACGAAAACGTACGAAGAATCCCCCAAACGTCCCATACCTCAAAAGCCACCAAGCCCAGGCTGCCCCGCGCGCCTTCGCGGATTAATGCTACGAATCGAATGCGGACGCGAGTTTGCCGACGCGCAAAAACGTAACATTGTAACGCTTGACCTCGATTTCTCCGAACAGCTTGACTACAGGATTGCCACGTAGCATGCCGAGGGCTGTGAGGCTGCCACGTTGCGATTTGTACCTCTGCCGAATGTGTCCCGGTCACGAAGCGTAATTAATAAATATCAAAACCCCCTTATCTGCGATGGACTCGTCCAGTATTGCCCACTCAGAATTGCAAGGCTGCATCAAAGTGCCCGGAAGGAAGAGCATCCGATAATCTGGTACGTACTGCACAGCGAGCAACGGTTTGAACCACACGACGGTGTACGGAATTCTATGTACCGAGTGTGAGCGCGCTCGCGCACCATCAACACGCACTTCTGAGAGTCAATGCCATAAGACGCACTTTTACATTTCTGCCCCGTTGCCCCATGCAAAAGAGGCAAGCCCCCGCCGCCCTCTTGGGCGGTCTACCATGTTTAGTCACATGTCGGATCGGAAGCATCGACTTTGACACAGTATACTGCATTATATGCATACATACCAAGTCGATCGAGGGGCATGCAGGATAACCGATTAGAGCGCGCTGTAAATTGCCGCCACAGCGGATTGCCGCATGGGACCATGCCCGCTGTTATAGACCCTCAATGAACCATGCACGCTGCAAGCCGTTGTGGGCAACGCGTTCGTTATAAGCCACGTACATGCATTGAAGTTGAGGAGTCACTCAAATGTATGTATCCGGCGGGCCAATAATAGGGCGGAAAACTATGCAAAATTGTATATACCATGCATAACCGTCCAATATCTTGTAAATCCTGCTGGTGCGGAAGGTATAGTTCATATGCTAGATCAAGCTGGAGCTGTGTCTAGATATACAGCTGGACCAGATCCACAGTGCACTGCATGCAATGCATTGACCGCCAAAGTTGAAAGATGCCAAGCCTGAACTCGAAGTATCAGCTGGTCAACTGAAGCGGGAGTGGCCAATGATTCACGTGATCAAGGGCAAGACCCAGGAGTAGAAATGCTTGTCTAGCATAAACAATTAGCCACGATCATCAGTCATCACGCCACCCGCCGTAGCCGTTTGCATAGCTTACAAAACATACTATACATCCCATCCGTGTGCATGATTTGCTAAGTTGCAGTGTGTTAGTGTGCTGCTTGTTTTCTGTAGTAATAAACATTGGACATGACTTGCAGCCGTAGCAAGCTGCAGAGTCAATTCATTGTACCCCGGTCTCACCGGAGCATTGCCCGATGGCTCAACGTGGCCCAGGGTTTATAAGAACATGTGACCATCAAGTGTTGCAGCGCACTGGAGTCTACTATGCGATTGTTGGGACCTTGGACATGACTTGCGGCCGTAGCAAGCTGCAGAGTCAACTCATTGTACCGTCCCGGTCTCACCGGCAGACTTGCCCGATGGCTCAATGTGGCTAAGGGCGTTAATAAATCGTAAGTTACCATTGTTTGTCTCGAACACAAAGCTGGGAATTGCTTTATATGAGTGATTAGGCTGATAATCTCTGCCTTACATGCAAAACTGCTGCAGATTATATGTGGCGCGCCCTAGGACCAAGCAACTTCCCATCGTTATAACAGATCGGTTGGCAGGCCGCGGCCGGACATATGAGTTGGCTCATCATACTCGGTGGCCCAGTTGTCAGGTGCCGTTCTTGATCACTGTTTGGGCCTGGCTGGCACGTAGAGGATCCACAAAGCCTGGCTTGTGAGGAGCTTTTCAAAGGATCGAAAACCTCTCCACAAATCATCAGGTTGTTGCAGCTCAACTTTTTCTTTTACCTCCAAGACAACAAAGGTAGAAAGTTGCGGGACCGTCCATAGCTTGTAAGTGCGTGCTCAATCAATTCAATTAACATACATATCACGGACAAAAACGCCAGCCATCAGCTTTAGCTTATTCTAGCAATTCTACAAGAGGCAAGACGGGGTGATGCGTTCCTTGCTAGCTCGTGAAATGATGATCTGTAAGCTATGCATATCATTGCTCTTTGCGCTCCTTAGACGACTCTTTGTACCGACCGTAGTCTCGCCACGCCCAAGACGACACAAAGATCACATAGACCACGGCCGCGGTGCTCCAGCCTGCCTTTATGTAGAAGGGCATCGGTTTGTGGAACATGCCTGCACGCACGACCCACGTGACATTATTGAACGCATCGACGTCTTTGGGTGCGAAAGCCCGTGGAAACAAGGTAGTGACTAGGGCTCTGATTGCGGAGTCCTTCGCTTTGCATCTGCCAAAGAGCCTGGCCGCCCGCTCTGAAGAGAGATGCAACGGCCGCTTAGACAATCGCAAAGCAGGTCCTCAAAACAACGTGGCGCAAAGTGGCCTAAGCGGACGGGTCCTTTGCTTACCTTGGCCAAACTTGAAGCAGATGAGGGTCTCCAGGAGGACATTGGCGAGGGCCAGCCAGCAGAAAGGACCGACCTTGCTCACATCCCCCCTGCACAGCGCCGACAGTCAGTGAGGATCTAGAGTCTACGACGGGCCCATAGTACATTTCACAAGGCTCTAACACACGCGCCCTCAAGTCCCTGTGGAGCGATCATGAGTGCAGGTCGCCTGAACTTTGACGAAAAGCACGATGTAATTGGCGGGCTTGCCTTGCTTGCACGAACACGTTGAACTCGCGCACGGCTGGGTTGGCAATCAGCCACCAGAGCAGCAGGCGGTACGTGTTGAGGGGGTTGCGGGGCGGGACCCAGAGCTCGTACTTGAGGAAGAAGGCGTTCACCTCCACCGTTAAGAAGTGCAGAGCAGTCAAGGAACAAGCGGAAAATAGCGCAGGCAAGGAAGGGGCGAGGCAATACGCCTGAGAGCCACGTCAAAAGCATGTCGCGAGCAGCAAGCCAACTGCTTGAAAGAAAGCAGCGGAGGAAACAATCAACACTGATCAAACTCCATGGCGTGCAATCAGCAGTCACTTGACGCACGAGACGCCAACTGCAATTCTCTGAGTCGATTCAAAGTCAAAGCTGCGACGACAGTCGGATGAAGGCACCAGGACTCGATTCTTCGACAATGCAGAGAGATGACACTGAGGGCAAGCTTGTGAGGATATGACAAGGACGAGAAGCGTCGACAGCACGAATTGCTTGGGGCCCGAGAGGGGGTCAATGGTGTCTTTGTCCCAGGATGCAGGGGTGAACTGGCTGAGGGAGCGCTTGACCTGAAGGTCAGACAGACAGACCTGATCAGCAAAGTGCACAGAACGGAACAAGCTCAAGGCCGAATCGGATGCGGGTATGTGTGGCCAATCACGGCCGTAGTCCCTGGCAATGATCTGGGCCTAGGCATGGGAGAGTGACGCCCTGCCGAAATTGCAACGGCTGCTTACCTTGCCCGTCAGTGTCGGCTGCTTGCTGATGCCCACCCACGTGTACGTCTTGCCCTCGAAATATTTGACAGTCTTCATCCCCGCCCAAATGCCTGGACACAACCAATGCACTGCGTGTGAGCAGAGGACGATCGAAAGGGCGTCCAGAGGCACTCGAGACATCCACCCCAGAACCGACCTTTTCCGCAAGCTGCACCGTGAAGAAGGTAAGCACCAACCTTCCATGTCAAGATCGAGCTTTACGAATAATTGTCGAACATTCAGTGTTTTGGAACTCTCTGTCAACGCCCGCTTTTCGCCGCCTGCCTCACCGAGCCAATTGCAGACCAGGATGTCCAGAATGAGCGCATCCCACCAGCACTCGTTGAAGTTGGGCAACATGTGGTTGAATGTCACCTGCACGACACATTAGGAGGGTACAACTTCAAGTGCACAATGACAAAGGAGCGTTACACGATCCCCTGCCTCAGGAACTTTGGCGTGGAGTAGAAGCATGTCATTTGGGTAAGACGAGGAGTGAGGTTGAGGCAGGCAGAACAACCCCGACTGAGAACATCGTGTAATATGCAAGTTTTCCCTGCTTATCCCTCACCTCCATGAGCTCGAATCCAATGGACAACGTCCAGATGAGGCCCATGCTGCGAAGGGTGATAGCCTTGCAGTACCAACCGAGAACATGGGCAATCACAAACTCGTCGAACAAGGTATCCTGCACCAAGAAGATGCAAGAGATTTTGGAACACATGTTGTCATCGTGGAGAGGCACAGGACTATCATTTTCTAACCACTTTATTGCCCAAGGCCTTTGGCAGGCCTATACTCTCAAAACGGAAGCACTTTGACTGCCAACAAAGCGAAGGAAGAGCTCTTTGTTTGCAACAAGACCACGCAGCTCCCAACTTTTGCAGAGCTGAGAGACTCCCTGAATAAGGTCGTTGGCGCTTCTTACATACACGTTCTTGAATTTGTTGGCATGCTCAGGTGTATAGATTCGGCAATCTGCTCCATATGCTCTTTCATGCAGATCTGCAGACAAATATAAGAAGACTTGCCTTCGAAGTCCATAAAACAACCATGTATGCCTGTCCTTTTGCGACTATATATCAGCTAAAAGTAACTCAAGTCTCATGGCATTTAGGTAGAGTGCCCAAGCAAGCAGGACTTGCCATCGAAACGAAATGAAGCCAGGAGCATCTTGTCACAAGTTCTAATCTCCAAGAGGCTCACCGACGCCAAGCTCCGGATACAAGTACTTGAGGAATTGTCGGGCATCCTCGGCGGTCTGATACAGAACAAAAGTTATAAGTATGGCTTTGTTCCTACTGGAAAAGCTCCAAACAGCGACAAGCTAGCCATCACCTCCTTTTTAAATGGAATCTAGACCACAAATACTGAAGACATGTTTCAATCTATAAATGATACAAGCGCCACGTTCGACCCACTGTCTTTGTAACTTGTGCAAGAAGTTGTGGCTACTAACCTGAAACAGCGTGAATGTAAGCACAACCAGGTAGACAATTGCCGCTCCATGGACGAGGCGCCAGAGAGCAGGGTGAGGGCGGATCAGCAGCCTGAAACACAGCGCCACTCCCAGTGTGAGGGCTGTTGCTTCCCAGTAGAATGACAGAAAATCTGCCACTTGAATGCACCTCCAAACTGCAGGATGCACTGAACGAGGACACTGTGCCCTTCAGTTGTGGATTGTCCACTAGTGAGTGATAAAAGCAATGTAGTAACAAGTAACAACGGCTGTACTCACGTGTCTGGAGCGCGCAGTAGTGAGTAGCCAAGGTAGACAGCAACCATGCCACATATGCCCCTGCACAGAGAACAGCTTAAACTTAGCTAATGCAGTCATTTTGAATTTCCGCACCCTTGTGTCATGATCAACTTAGAGAATCTGCAGAGATCAGTGAGCAATCAGATGGTAAGTGTTATGACTCAAGTTCTGCGGCAGACAAGCTTGCCCAATCAAGAATGACTGTATGTACCACTACAGCTTGATGTAGTGGCAGGGGAAAGTGCCCGGAGGAAAGATGTACGCACCTCTTTACGTTGGAGACAGGATCCAAGTTTTGCTCAGCCGTATTCAGTGTTCCGCTTGCATACCTGAAGGGATCATACAGCTTCTGATGTTGCCATCGTCAAAACAATAGTAGCAATTGTTCTCCGCACTAGCGAGGATCTCATGCTCTTGTGGCCACAAAACTGAGCGCTGGCATACATGCGGCAAGGTGCCAGATTGTGCGCCAATCAGAGGCTGCTACAGTGATTCGTCAAGTAAGCATACTTTCCAGTGTGCTCCATTGCTTGTATCTTTCATTTGACTGAAGTGTGTTTGCAACGGAACAGCTGATTATTCCACAACTGCTTCGATAACCAACTCCAGAGCTCACGACTTCGAATTACGCCAGAGGAACTTGCTCAATATCTTGGTTTATGCTGCATGCGGCATTGGCCAATCCAGCCAAAAAAACCAGATCAGGACCGACCACATGGTGGTGAGACTTACACCAGTGCAAACACTCCGGCGAAGAGCGCTGTGATTGTGTGGGGTTTGTAGGCCCATGCGACCCATGGATCAATGTCGTCAATACCTGAAGGATGGCTGGCAAGTTTCCGCTCGCTCTCCTTTGAATCCATTTTCTCTGACGCCCTGACGCCCTGACTTTGCAATGCCAAGGAAGCGGCGCTAGCTAATGTCAATTGCAGCGATTGGATATCAGCCAGCAGATTCAGCTGACGAAGAGAGTGCATGGAACCCGTCTGAACCGTCAGGGGCAGAGAGGGCCCGCCGCCAATCCGCCCACCACCAATGCCAACGGCATCATGCCAATGCCAACAATGGTGAGCACTGCCGATCAACAGTGCAGGCACACACCCATGCCAATGCCAATAGAAAGGTACCTGCAGGCTGCCCAGTGCGCAACAACCAAGTGGCGCACCCAGTTCACACCACTTGACTTCAATTGCTGTCACAGTCAGTGTTACATTCCAACCTTCCTCACCCGGCTTGCTCCTGGTTAGTTCCAAAGGCCAAATTTAGGGCCCTTAACCATAGCTAACCAGGACCATGCTCCGTTGATTTGGCAATATATCGGTACCTATTGGACGAATTCAACTTCAAATCAATACCGTACGAGCCCCAGAACCGAATCGGGTCCAGAAGTGGATTGGGCTGAGCTAGAAGTGGATCGGTTAATATTTGTTATCTTGTTCCAGTCTACGGCGATCGCCGATCCGTCAAATTTTCTTGCTCTTTTTGACCAAAATCGAAGGTTTTCAGGGCTGCAAGGACCTCCTCGGGGCCAAATGATAATCCGACTGCTGCTCTCGATGGGGTTCAGTAAGACAGGATATGTGCAGAAAACCGCGTCTCAAATGGTCCATATTCGGTCCCAGCATTGCAAATAAGCGCTTGAAAAATAAGGTGAGCCGGTATAGGGTCTCGTACGGTAATACCAATTTCGATGTGAAAGCTTTTTGCCGCATCAATTCTGGACCAAGTTGAACCGTCGATTGAACAGCAGACCGCTCGATGGCCAGCAATGCAAGGTCAGGCGCCGGAACTAGGAGTTCAAAGTATCCCAGTTCAAAGTCACCTGCGGGTCTACGAGGCGGGTGTCGAATTTCGCCATCGATGAACATCGGACGGCTTCTGTATTCCAGATCAGGTTTGACGAGCACATCGGACGGTCATAAACTTCAGAAGACGGTTTGACCGGAGAAACTGCACTTAGCTCGCCTGCATAGGCCTGGGCCCTGCACTCAGCACGGCCCGGGAGTGCACCGTCGCTAGGAAGGCTCTACCGGTAGCCTCTGCCCCCCAAGACCGTCACTCGAAGTCGAACCCTCGAGATTTCTGTCAAGAAAGTTGAACTTGTAACTTTGGAAGTTGGAAGGAGTCCATCTCGATCGCGCCGTGGCAGACAGGCTGAGACAGGCCCAATTTCCAGGGCGCACTGCTTCAATTTCAACTTTCAATCAAGATCCACAAAAAAAGCCTTTTGGTGGCAAGGCAGGGAGTGATTGGATCTTGGCAACCCTTTGATCAGCAATTGCGCAAACATGCCTCCTCCTCAGCAGACCTCGTTGATATACAGTTTTGTGGCGAGGTCCAAGACGGTCTTGGCAGAATATACGGCCTTCTCTGGAAACTTCAGCACGGTTGCTGTACAGTGCTTAGAGAAATTGCCTCCCAACAATAACAAGTTCACATACACATGTGATGGACACACATTCAACTACCTGGTTGAAGATGGATTCAGTGAGTTTCCGGAATCTTCGAGCCCCATTGTGATGTTCACAGATTTCTAAGCGGCCCATCATTGGATAAATGGCGAGTTTACTTGTCATGCTCGTCTAGCATATAGATCTCTACACCAAATGAAGTTGCCAATGGATTCTATAGTGTGGTTCCCCTCCCCCCAAATCATCTTTCTGGCAAGTCCCTCTCCTGACCGCGCTTACTTCGTTGGATTCTATCTGTGCAGCGTACTTGGTCGTCGCAACAGAAGAGTTTGGCAGGCAAATACCGTTTGCTTTCTTGGAGCGTGTACGAGATGATTTTAAGCGGAGATATGGGGGCGGCAAGGCAGACACAGCGATTGCCCATGCACTGGACAAGGATTTTGGGTATGTGTCTGGGTGTTGTATGCATCTATTGGGATTTGCATAGAAACAGTTGTCTCGTCGAAGCTTGGACTTGTCATACCTGTGCTTCTATTGAGAGTTGCTTTTCAAAACAGAAGTCCTGCCCACGGCAGAGACCTACAACAATTCTGGAGCAGTCCCTGGGCAGCCTCACATGGGAAGGGGCTCGAACACATGCCAATTGTGATCATTTGCAACTGCCAAGTGATTGTTCTTTGCGCTAGGTGCAGTCAACACAAGTTTCTCTTAGAAGTTGTTCGGTGGTTGTCTTGCACACCTGATTCATGGTTGCACACAAACCGACTGGAGTAGAAGTAAAATTAGGGTTTGCAGCCGTTTTGCAGTTGATGCTTGCAAGATTGGCTTCCCGTCCTTCAAAGACGTGGCCCACCTATGCAGCATCATAGGTTCGAGCACAGTATCTCAACGCGTCATAAGCATCTTGATGTCTGCTCATTCGGAAAATTCGTTGGCAAGGGTTGCAAGGTCAAGGGGCAGCGGGGACTTGAGGGGGTACCTAGGTGCTAATATGCTGGACACCCGCACGTTTTTGCAGGCCTAAGCTGCGCGATCACATGAATTACTGTGTCGAGCATCCAGACGAGGTCAGCAAGGTCTCAAAAGTGAAAGCTCAGGTGTCCGAGGTGAAGAACATCATGATGGACAACATCGAGAAGGTGAGCAATGCTTTCCTGATCCACGCATACTTTTCAGGGCACTGTACTGAAGGCTATTCATTCTAGAACACGCATTGTTGATCGATCTGCAGCTCCGCAAGTGGCCTTTATGTTGATTTGATCATGCTTCTGCATCGCATGTTGCAACATGATTGGCCGGATGCTGCAAACCTTTATTGAATGGTACCAGCTCAGGGCTCATCTAAACGGTGTTGCTGTCTGCTTAGTGCTGATTACGGGTCTTCAGTAAGCACACTTTCAAGATTGAGGGCGTCGTCGATGCAAGGATGTTGTTTGTAACAGCCCCAAGAGGAAGACCTAATTCAGCAAGTTGTACTGAACTTTGTCAGGAGTATCCCGTCAGCATGGAGATACATACATGCTCAATGCTAAATCCAATTGGGCTGTTCCAGGTTTTGGATCGTGGTGAGAAGATTGAGCTTCTGGTGGACAAAACCGAAAACCTCCGGTTCCAGGTTAGTTGCATTGCTTTACTATGTTAATATTCTGCGTTCGCGTTGGGTAGCCCTTACTGTAGAAGACGATGTAAGGCCAACAACCACGATGTGTCAGGTGCATGCCTTGTGTCTATCGTCCTTTCTTGGGCTGCAGCTGCTCGGTGTTGGCGCTTCTTGCGACAGCTGGTTTGATTGTTGCGCGCGGAAGGCAATTGCCGCGCTTTCCGCTTTATTATTTTTGATTGGCCTTGATTTGTACTCGTCGATTCGTTATGAAGGGCGGGAGTTTGTTAGCAGCCTCTTGTCTACTTTTGCTCTGGGTCGCGGTAAAATGCTTTGAAGCGCTGACTTCGTGTTTTGTTGGCTTTGCAGGCTGACAACTTCCAAAAGCAGGGTCGTTCCTTGAGAAGGAAGATGTGGATGCAAAACATGAAAATGAAGCTCATTGTGGCAGGCATCATCATTGCCATCATCCTTATCATCTGGTTGGCAATCTGCAGGGGTTTTACTTGCAAGTAAGAGAATATCACATAGAGAGCTTCAACTCGGAGGGCCAACAGTTGTATAACAGTAGTCAAAAGAATTATCGGGGGTTCTGATCTTGTGTACGTTTTTCGTTTGTAACTTTCATCGTGCATGATTTGCAAAACAGATTGGTTTGTTTTGGATGCCAATTCGTCGTAACCCAAGTTTTTGTCTGGGGGAATGCGTGTGATTGGAGGAAGGGTCGCAAGTGCATATGCAGTTGGTCGGTATACCAGGACTGCCGCCTTGTGGCCAGATGTGCAAGTTTAGTTAGGCCAGTTATCTGCCGCAGGCATTTGGTATGTATCCAATGTATATTCGCATCATTACGTGGTGTGGTACTTGCTTGCACGATCTGGGCGGTACGAACTTGGCTAAGTTGTAATGAAAATTGCTAATGTTTGCCTCCCATGCAAATATGAGAGCCATGAGTACCAGCCTTTTTTACTACTTAGCGACTGCATATGATATGATACAGCTAGTGACTAGAGTTCGTCCGCATCGACCTTATCCAAAGTATCCGACTTGTCAACGTATTCAGCTTTTGCCTCAGCTGAAGTTTTTAGTTTCCGGCATGGGGATCACTCGGGTTGAAGACTTGCCAATGACTATTCGTGATCAATGCTTGTGGCAATTTTTGCAACGCATTGTTGCGGCTCAATAGCCGAGTTCCTGAATGACGATAGATCTGCTCCCAAGCCTAGAACATTGAACTACCTACCAAGAGTGCTCCGAGACCTCAGGCTTTTTGGATGGCACGGCCTAGGTCTCAACAAGAGGAGACTCTGCGAACAAGACTGGACAGATCAGATTGGTCATCGTCTCCTTCAATCGGAAACTACTTGCTAAATGCATAGGACACAGACTGGCGCTGGTGTATGGGCAAGAACCTGGCACAGGAAAGCCCGCCCGCAGTGACGACAGAGGGAGTTTCTCGGCCTCAAATGATCAAAACGATCCACGGCGCTCTCGCAGGTGGCAACCAGAATCAAAATCACGAACTACTACGTGCATGCTGCAAAAAAACTTGGTTCGTGTGACCCCAGGAAGGATAGACATAAGCGGTGAGCGAACATGACAATCGGCACTCGACGACGAGATTCGAGCTAGCGCCGTTCCATGCTTCGCAAAGAGACGCCTGGCCTTATCCAGATGGTGCACGTGGGAGGCTCGGGCGTCCGACTCTGAGAAGAAGGCAAAAGCACAAAACAAGGAGGCTTCGGTGGACCTCACTGATCAGCAGATTGGAGTTCCAGTGTTGGGGAAGTGGTCGCCACCGGCAGCCTTGCTTCCGAGGCCGCTCGAAGCGAGCGTGGGTTCACCTGACGCACTTGCAGCAGCCCTGCAGGAAGCAGATCCAAATACGCGTGTCAGTGCCGATGCAAGCCGCAAAGTGGCTGCGCCGGCTGACAATCAACCCGATGGCAAGAAGAAGTGGCTGTTGCAAGCAGAGCACGGATCAGATTTCGTCGCTACAGATTCAACTTTGCGGGTTCTTTGCAAAAAGCCTTGAACAGGCACAACAAGCGGCACACATCAGTTGATGTAAGAAAAGTGCAGTGACTGCAGATTGTCGCGCCACTGAAGGGAGGCGTAGATGAAGGACAATCCTCCCGCTGCAACTTACGTCCAGGATGACGAACTTGGCGATATCGGATCCGGGGGGTTTCTCCCACTGGGCGGAAAACACGGGGGGGCCCAGCAAGGCCTGCTGGTGGGGTCCTCCTGTACAACCAGCGACCCAGGTCAAACTGGTGAGGGCAGCACACGCCGGTGCATCAAAAGAAGCGGAGTCAATCTGCAGACGATACATGACAACCGGCGGAGGGTTTTTCGAGTATGACAATTCACGTACCTGGGTCTGGAGAAGCGGGGCCCTGGAGCACCAGGCGGTGCGTCACAAAGTCCTGCACGACCAGGAAGCAGGCGGATGCGATCAAACGCCGCTCGATGACCTTGGACGCTCCTGATCGAGCTCCCGTTACTCTTGTAACTCCGCACAGCATTGCTAGCTTGTTTCTGTTGCTTAGACGGTCGACAATGCCTCTCCAGCTTGCTCGCATGCCTGGCTCCGAGGTTTGCTGCTTGCCTGCCATACGGCCGGCATGTACTCCTTGTGGTACAGCACCGCCTTCTGCGGCAGCTCCGGGTCCTCGTCCTCGTGGCTGCCCCTCGCGCCCTCCTGAGGGGAGCGTCCCGATGCAGTGGTGGAACCGGACCCGTAGGGCCGCCACCGGTTTGGGGCCCCTATCGCAGACTTCGTCGCCAGCATGAGGGGCCGGTGTCGCTTCATGATGTGCTTCAGCTCCGTGACTACCGCTTTTGACAGCCCCGACTGGGTCAGCGCGTCACTGAAACAAGGAGGGAGCGATGAAGGAGGAAGTTTGGCGCCCGGAGTTTGCAGAATCTGTCACCAGAACGAGATGGTCTCGAGCATGTTCTCGGTCAGACCACAAGAGAAAAGAATCGCACAGGCAAGGTGACCGAAATCACTAGATTTGTAAATCATGGAAATCATGGCGGGCGACACAACAGCACTCCCTTGGCGGCACTCACCGATGCCCTGCCCAAAGATGCAGGCCCTTGTCCAGCCAATGGAACGCACCGATGCTGGAGAGAGAGGGGGGAACAGCTCAGCGCAGGGCAGGGGCTTCGATGAGAAGATCCTGTGGGACAAGGTCTGAAGAATATCAACAGGAACAACGCCCGCACATCAGATGCTAGACAAGAGAAGCCCAAGAAGCTTAGCACCCAGGCTCATGGTCTTGACAAACCTGAGAGTAATGGGAGATCACAAATGGATTCCCACCTGTCAATACAGATAAGGTGGAGACTGTCTGGGCCATGATTCTGGACTATCTGGCGAATTTCCGGTTGTAACATCTGCAATCCAGAACATCCCTGCCGTCAGATCCAAAGTTGCATAAGATGACCTTCTCTTCTCACGCCCACCTCCACTAGAAAGGCTTGTATAGAAGCTGCAGACGACCGCCTGATTATGCAAGTCGATAGTTTGGGAGTTGTTTGGTTCAGTAGCAAGACCATCACACACATGTACACTCCAACTGATCAATCCTTCGACATGGAAACGAGACCCCACCTTGAGCGCTGCAAGGAGATGGAAGCTGTTGTGGCAGTGCAGCAAGCGGAACCTTCGCAGGCTGGCAGTGAAGACCTGAGAAAGGGCGTCCGCATCACCTCCGCCCTGAGCAACTGCGACATGGCAAAGACGCTGGCCTTTGCATACAAGCGATCAACCCCAAGGAATCTCATAGAAACGATTGGAAGCTTAAGCTCTCCTCAGGGTGGAACTGCATGGATTCACATCAAACAGACACTTCCATGCACAATGAGCGAATGATCAGCAAAACGCACAAGAATCTTGCCAAAGATGTCAACCCGGGGGCTTATGCCGGGTACCAAGGGGAAAAGCCCCATAAAAGATTGAACACCAAAGGGAAGTAGTCTACCTTGAGCCTCATTGATCCTCGACTCCAGAATTCGTACCAAGCGCAGAATGTCAAATCTGCCGTCCAGATCAAAGAACAGGGCTGCTCCTCCCGCCCCACCGTAGCCCACCCCGTCTACCTCTGAAGGAAGTATACACGTTGCAACTGCCTGCACCCCCCAATAGGGAGTTTATTTGTTTCGTTCCAGGAGATTTAAGGTTGCTTCAGGCATTGTATGCTTTTTCCTTCAACATCCCTTCTTTCGAAGACGCTCCAATGGAAGCAGTGTCAAACTTGATGTGGCACTGCATTCTAATCTTGCCTGTCTGATTCCACACAAGCTCAATGCTGAACTAAACAGTCTTCTGGTCCACAAATGTGGCACAACCTTGATAGCTGCCGCATAGGCTACATGAGAGGCAGTAGCTGTACCTGCGTGAGAATCTCTGTTTTGCCACTCCCACTGGCTCCAAAGATTTCCACAACATTCCCTGGCCGTATTGCTGCACTATCAATGAACGGCACCGACGTCCCCAAGGGCTCCACAAAAGTACGCAACAGAAAGTCCCTCATGCTTTCATCTGGCTGTAAAAAGCGGAGGAGAGCCTCCTCAGGATATTCGCTGCTCCCATCCATCTTTGGGCAGGTCGTTCGACTCCTGGATTCTGCGCCAGCCACCGTCGCTGCCCGCCACCTCTGTCATCACCACCACCACCACCACCACATCACGACCGCCACCACCAGCCTGCAGGTCTTCCTCAAGTTAAGAATCGCCTGGACGCAGCTCAATTTACAGCTATAACTTTAAGCAAACCAATGCAGGCTTTCTTCTTGTCTGATTGCAGTTTGCACGGATTGGGAGGGGGAACCCGGAAGATCCTCTGATACAGCACGAAATGGGTTTACTAGAATTGGTTTAGGGCGTCAGGAACATCTTCCGGGCACTGCGAGGCGCCGGATGTCAGCGGTGTGTGACATCTGAAGCTAGAAAATAATCTACAGTCATTGACACCGGACACGGACTACTCCTCGGTAAAAGTAAAGCGATAGATAACCTAGGCGTCATCTGGTATGGATGCATGATCGCCTTGCACAATCATGAAGAACTTGCAAATTGTTGCGAGCTCAAGCCTCAGCTGGATTGATTCTCTTGTTTGCTATTCGACAACATGTCGAATGCAATTGTCATGCAATTGTGAGAGAGCGAACAGATTGATTTGGAAGCGCAAAGTGGAGCAAGCAGGGAAGCGCAAAGTGGAGCAAGCAGAACGCTACGAGAGTAGCGGCCTGGCCCCACGGTAACCATTAATTAATATGTGGGCAACTCGTGCCCTGTACGAGTTCGACAGTGGGATGGCCATGATATCGGGCCAGAGCCCCAAGGCAGCGCCTTGCTTCGACCGTAAGCGTCGAACTAAAGTATTTGTCAACAAAACAGCTAACGCAGGCGTTATTACCGTGGGGCCAAACGTGGCCGTAACAAGTTCGTACAGAACTACAACTATCGCCTGGAACCTGCACTAGCACTCAGCTACCTGGTTAAGCAAACTAAGGCGTTAACTAGCTACAGCTGGCGCGCGGGCCATCAAAAACCCTTCGCGGGGTCGGGTCCGACAGGAGCCACGCCATACGCGGTAGGGAAAAGGTATCCGCGCGCGTCCGCCGAGCAGGGACGCGGCCGCGCCGAGGTAGCTGAGAGCTGGTGCAGGCTCCAGGAGAACGGCAGATCTGTGGAGGAGATGCAAAGGGCGGGAGGGCGGGAAAAGAGTGCACGATCGTAGCAAACTTGCGTGCTAGAAAGCTTGGCAGAATGAAGAAATGAGCGGGAGATTGCTCATTTTATACTGCTGAAGTCGCGCACGCGGCCGCTGCGCGGCCGCGCTGCGCGGCCGCGCTGCGCGCTAACAAATTCGAATTTGTCGGTTCGCACAGGAGAACCGAAATTCTTCACTAATTACAAACGTGAAGAATTAACAATTCTCTTGTTTGCTGTTCGACAACATGTCGAATGCAATTGTCATGCAATTGTGAGAGAGCGAACAAATTGATTTGGAAGCGCAAAGTGGAGCAAGCAGAAGAAAGAGGCAGGGTTAAGAGAAAACGGGTTATCCTAACCGCGCCTCGCGCTCGAATAAGCAAAGCTCCTCTAACGAAATGTTCGGCTGGAGGCCGAGATTCGCTGTCACGGAGAGACGTGCCTGGAGTTTGCTAACGACGTAGGAGTCCTTCGCTCGCTCGCTGCGTCAGAAGCCGTGCTCCTTGAAGAGGCGGTCAGGGACGTCCACGTTGGCGGCGCGCGTCGCGCCACCGCGGCGTCCGGAATGCGTTCTGTACAGCGCAGGATCAAGCCCCAGGCGGGAGGCTGCGTCCTTGAACCAGGAGTTGACCGTCGTGTACGCGGGCTGGGTTGCGCGCAGATACTGCTGAGAGGAAATCGTGACGGTCCGGATGAGGCCACCCGGACCAAACTGAGAGTACTGACCAAGCTCGAGAAGATACTCGGTAAGACCAACCGGACAGTAGGGACCGCCGACTCGAGCAATCAGCACCCAACGACCGACACGATACTGGTCGGTCTTGGACTTCTCCAAGAACAGCTCCATGTGAGGCGGAAGAAAACGGATCTCGTGCCAGCGGACAGTCATCAGGTCTGAAAAACGGAGGAAAGCGGCGTAACAGAGAGTAACAGCCGTCAGCTTCATCACGGTGTGGAGATTATGGTCAGGCGACCAACGCCAGATGTCGGCCAGCCGCCGAACGTGCGAAGCTAGAAGAGGCATCTTCGTTTTTTGACCAGAGAGGCGAGTACGCTTAGCGATTTCGCGGACCATCGCAACTAGAGAGTGACCAGTCGGAGACGGGAGACCAGCAAGGCAGTGGTGGAGGTAAATAGCGGCGGAGCAGGAGAGAATAGGGCTCGGGGAGCTAGCAGAGCGGAGAAGGTGAGTGAGGTAGAGAGCGACAGACAGGGGGGAAGCTGGAAGAAAGGAGACGCCTTTCTGTGTACACCAAAGCTTGAAACGGAACCAAGGGCCAGAATAGGTCTTGAAGGTTCCCGCAGCGCGAGAAGAGCCAGTCAATTGTTGAAGCTCGGAAAACAGGCTGTTGATATCCTGATCGTCCGGAGAGAAACCGGCTGCAGACAGGTTCCAGTCGCCGTGCAAGAAAATCTCTGCGAGATAAACAAATGAGATGACTTCAGTAAGAAGTACAAAACAGGAACTCACCCGAAGAAAACGAGATGTGACGGTTGGACAGGGTTTTCACGCTGCCTGTCTACTTC